AATTGGTTTCACATATTAAACCCATGTCGCGAATTGAACCCAGGTCCTTTTCGTGACGAACCACTTGGCTATCTCTCCGCCCTTTATATAGTAGCAACTCCATGACATGCAAGTGAACGAAGTCTATATTCCCATTCATAGGAACATATATGATTACTTCCCAAAGTACCCGTGAAAACAGACCCGTGAAGATCCGGGGTAGATCAGGCCTTCATCAACCCATGCTTGCCGTAAAAGGCGACTATGCTTGTCGGAAGAGGCGACTAACGGGATCGGGTGGTCAGGCTCGTTGATTTGATTGATGCATGTCATCGTATCCCAGTTGGGTGGATAGATGCTCATGATATTAAGCACAGCTTGGTGCGGGAGGAGAGCACAAAGTCAGGTAGGACTGAGGCGCCCATCCCTGGTGAACCCACGAGAATGGGTGTGAAATATAATCAGGGCGAATCCGAACTCAGAGTTTTCTGGCATGAATGAGGAACTCGTCTCCACAGGACGAATTGTGACGTGTTATAAGACGATTGGGTCACTCGTGAACACACACACCGACACCCATGTAGACACCATATGTGTACATACGTATTGATATTGATTATAAACTAAACTTGTAAGCAATTATTTTTGTATGACCCCTTTGAAATGTTTTGAATATATTTGTACATTTCAGGTGTTTTTTTATGTTATACATTAATTAAACGTGGCATTAAAACACTGAATAGAGATCATCGGCGTCTATCCTGTGCAGATTTCTAACATTTTATGAGAGCTTCTGTTAACTATATAACTGCCGTCCACTTCTAGCGTGTTGGCGTCGACTGTACGTAGTCATGTGTTAAATATGAATATATCTGGCTGTGGTACAATAACATTCAGAGAGTTAGTGAGTCAGAGAAGAGAGACAGATAGACAGACAGACAGACAGACAGACAGATAGAAAGACAGACAGACAGATAGAAAGACAGACAGACAGTCAGAAAGTAAAAACATCTTCCTTGTGTCTGTACCATCTCGTGTATCCACTGAATGTTAGATATTTGCTGTGAACACAGCAATTCTGGCAGAGTCAGTTTCGCACAACAGTAAAAGATACATGTTCACAACAGGAAGCTAGCATACTATTCCTTATATCCTTAAAAACCGAAGACATACAAAACTGTAACTCACATATAAGGTAACGATCAGGTTTGATGGTTGAATGACACCAGTCAGAAGTAAAACACGTTCAGCCGAACACATGCAAACCCAGGCGGTTTCAGATCCTCAATAATTGGGTAAATCACACACAAAAGAACATACTGCATCAGTAAATAAATACAATAAGCATCAGTGAGAATTGTTGTAATGCTAAATGGTAACCTAACCCGGCCATCTTGGAGGGGTCGCGACAAGAATGCAGTGTACTGGACTCCTTCCGCCATTTTGGTGAGGGGTTTGCTTGTGGTCCTTCCTTAGAAATGGTTTCTGAGTTTATCAGCAACCTTTTTTTGCCGCCTGGCTAAAATAACAACAGCTTGAAAGAAATGAGTTCGTAAGTAAATTTGATGCTTAATCACCAAAGTAAACACATACTGTGTATTTTTTTAAATGGGGCCCCGATAGATGTCACTGATGAGGTTGCCGCACGCCATTATGGAACTTTATTTTCGAGTATTTTGTTTTATTTCATGAACAATTTTCGATATTTATGAATGTCTCTGGTATTCCATTTCAAGGTGAAATCATGATAAATCATGCAATTGCAAGCGGAGTCAAATATCCACCTTACTTTGAGCCGTATCGCCTTTTTTATTTTGTCGCCAGTGTGTGTGTGTGTGTGTGTGTGTGTGTGTGTGTGTGTGGATGTGGACTCACGGCCCACAGAAACATGCCATTCACAAATACAGCCACGGTCCTGTTCCAAAACCCGATCGTAGTGCTGAGGTGATCGTAACTCCCATACTTTACCATAGACTTATCACAGTCGTAGCGCTACGATTCCGTTTGTGATACTCGACCCAGCCTCCCTCTCAGAAATAAAACTAATACTCACCCCATGAGCGGCTTTTTCAAAATGATCACATCATTCTGAAACACTTTTGCTGCTAAATCTTCAAATTGCGTTGAATTGTTATAAGTCTCCGACTTGTTACGTCGTTTCTTCTTCCTTTTGGTCCTTACTTTGCTGTTGCCTCCCATGACATTTTGTTCTGCAGGTAACAATATATGAACGTCATAATACTTATGACGTCATTTAATTGTTGTTTCCTTGTGACGTCATGTTTCATTTCGTCCTAGGACCCCGTACCTTTCGGCCAACCTCGCCTCTTTCCGTCACTTTCCGTAATCGCAATTGCAGTTAATAGCCGATCGTGTTCAGATAGATTCCGGGCATGTCTGTTGTTCGGCGGTCTCCACAATCCACAGGAACGTGTGTCGTTGCTAAAATATTATTTTCTAGTTGACATACATTTACACAGGGCCAGACACTCCGTATAGGCGACTGACTGAAAGAGGCGAGTAACGGCTGCGGGTAGTCAGGCTCGCAGACTTGGTTGATGCAAGTCATCGTATCATAGTTGTGTAGATCGATGCTTATGACGTCATTCACTGGATTTATTGGTCCAGACTTGATTATATGCAGACCGGCGTCATATAACTTGAATAGTGCTGTGTGCGGCGTTAAACAACAAACACTCCGTATTGCACCGCTCGCCTTATATTGCTGTTTCTTACGGTGGCTCATAAGGGACATGGAGTCGGTTTTTCAATATTTTGATATATCACTTACTTTCATCGTAACCTTTTGCAAATTAACACGATTTGTCATACAAATATGTGATAAATCACGTATAAAGGAGATATTGAATCGCAGAAACGTGAAGCGAAAATGTCAAAAACTAAAATGAAAAAATGAAAAAGGTTACGATGAAAGTAAGTGAAATATCAAAATATTGAAAAACCGACTCAATGTCCCTTATGGTCCACCGTAGTTTCTTGAGTAAAATCATAAGCACAAGAACTTCATACATATCTGCGTTGTCTGGTAATTATTCGCTCAATCCCGATGCATGATACCTCCCAGTTCTTTGTTGTTGTGAAATAATCAATAGTCGGTCACTCGCAACTTTGTTCTTGTTTGTAAACAAACGCGTTTATTCTGAAATCAGTAGTCCGGCCGTGTGGATGCCTTTCAGTGCGACTCACATATTGTTTTGCATCATTATTAAGATATACTACTACAATGCGACAGTGAGAAGGTTGACAATATATCTATACACATACAAAAAATAATTAAATTACACTATCGCAAGCTAGCCGAAGGGCTATTTACACGATATTCACACGTGGAACCGCACTACCATTGTAAACAAAGCATAAATACACATATGGCTAATATGAAATAGGTTTTGACGGTTTAGGATATTGGCAATGAAAATTAACGATTTGATATTTTCTCAATTAAAATTAATCAGATACGTGTGCCTAAATGACTTTTCAAAAATGAAACAGATGAAAAACATGTCTCGATTCACAGGAGTAACAGAAGTGTCTTAGCCATATTCAGACGGAGTAGCCCAAATAAACATAGACATTGGACGATACACAAATACACCGGTGGAGAAGAGAACGTGTTTTTACTGTAAGGGTGAAGTTGAGGATGAAATCCATGTTTTACTACACTGCCCCCTTTATAATGATATACGTTTTACCCTCTTAAGTGAATGTGTGGATAAATGTTGTACTTTTAATGATTTTACAGATGTACAGAAAGTTAGTTTCATCTTAGCCCATCCGGATGTTGTTTTTTATTCCGCCAAAACCTGCAAACTTTTAATACAGAAGCGGAAACAAGTTTTATATTGTAATCGGTAATGGTTTTATTTTGTGTATATTTTATGATATTTCAATGGTATATTTTCTATGTTCTTAGTTTATTTTAGAGATAACATTTTACGTGTATATAGTTTTATGTTTTGTGTATATTTTTAGTTCATATATAGTCTCTCGTAACCCTTAAAGGGCGGCTCACTTTTTATTGTATTCTGTATAGCATATTTTTACCCTGTACTTGTGAGGTGAGACTTAAATAATTTATCTGTCTGTCTGTCTGTCTGTTATTTATTAAATGAACGGAGAAAGATGTGAGGAATCGTCACATATCTCTGGCCTTGGGAAGATGTACTAGGTCGACCGCACGCAAGCCCGCGCGATATCATTATATCAAAATAAAAGAAAGCATCTCCCTCTGATGTGTGTCAAAGGCATGTGGCTGTGTCTAAGAGTCGTCAACTGGCAGACGAAAGTTTTATTTTGGGAGGATGACATCGACCTTACGGGTTGGCCAGTCTCTTTTCTGTGTACACAACACACCACCTGCCAAGATTTGTGTGTTTGTTTGTTTGTTGTTTTACGCCGCACTCAGCAATATTCCAGCTATATGACGGCGGTCTGTAAATAATCGACTCTAGACCAGACAGTCCAGTGATTGACATCATGGTATCTAACGAGAATGAGTGTAAGATTCTCTATTTATGAACGCCAGGCAGAGTAACAATAAGTACCATGTTTTAACGTCTTTAGGATAGACAACTCAGTGATTGACATCATGAGCATCGATCCATGCAATTGGGATACGATGACATGCATCAACCAAGTCAGCGAGCCTGATCACCCGATCCCATTAGTCGCCTCTTCCGAAAAGCATTTTCGCCTTTTGCGGCAAGCATGGGTTGATGAAGGCCTAATCTACCCCGGATCTTCACGGGTCTGTTTTAAAATAATACAGAAATCTTTCTAACGTATCGTTCAGTAGCCCCCCCCAAAAAAACATATAGAAAATCTGATATTAAACGATGAACGGATTTGGGGTCACAGTATCCGCAGCCCTGTGTTTAATGAGTTCGCTCGTCGAACCGAAAACCCAGGTTCGATTCCCCACACGAGTACAATGAACAACTTATGTATCCCTTGTGTTTTTTCTTTTGTTTTATTTTATTTTAAAAATAAAAGTTCAAACGTTTAATCAGTCACACTTCTCGTTTTATTAACGACCTATTTAAGCAGTACAGTACACAATCACAAAAAGCTGACGTGATCAGTGGGAACTATCCAAACTGACTGTGTTTCCCATCAAACAGCGTGTTCTTAGGTGGGAAGTCGCCCTTGTTGCAGTCGTCGGAGTCGCAGCAGAAGCTGCATATAATGCTGGCGCCGGTGGGAGCAGACGTGTGGTCCAGCATGTTGAGACACAGATCCGTGTCGGATGTCTGCAGCCACCAGTCTCTGTAGCAGGTGGCCTCATCCACACAGCTGAAGATGACGACACAATGGCATGATGACAACATCTGAAACATCCTCTACATGCAGGTCTGGCATTTCGGTAAACCTACACTAGCACAGTGACCCGTTCCCGTGGTTCTTGCGATCTCAAATTACCTGCCCTCTCTTGAGTGTCATTAGCTAATTTGATTTTCTATGTCGGGTAGTTGGTATCAACAATATGGCGGACACACACACACACACACACACACACACACACACACACACACACACACACACACACACACACACACACACACACACACACACACACACACACACACACACACACACAACACACACACACACACACAAACACACACACACACACACGGGTTCGAATCCCAGCTTGGCCCTGAAACACCCACCTCTTCCTGATTGTCCTGGTGTACTGGATGTCGTCTGTGACCGTCGTCAGACAGTACCCGGATGAACACGTCATTGGATGCTGAATGAAGGGGCAGCCATTGCTGCAGTCCCAGCACGTGGTTGGACCTGGAAATCAGACACGTTGAGATAACATATGTGTGGTGATTCACAAGGAACGAGTGGGTAGATGATAAGCGATGGTGTTTGGTTTGGCGTGTAGCTCGAGAAGAGACAATCAGCCCGGAGATCTTGCGGAGCATCTGTTCTAAGTCAAATGAATTGTATCAGTCTGCCACAGAGGGCGCAAGCATAAGCTCCATTACCAGTGACCTACCGGAAACAGCCGAACGTGTGATTGAAATAAAAGAGTTTGTTTGTTTGTTGTTTAACGCCACACTCAGCAATATTCCAGCTATATGACGGCGGTCTGTAAATAATCGAGTCTGGACCAGACAATCGAGTGATTGATACCATGAGCATCGATCCACGCAATTGGGATATGATGACATGACAACCAAGTAAGTGAATTTGGTGTAACACCGCCTTAACACCCTAGCCATCAAATTCAGTTTGACAAATCCTCTCCAAATCCTCTCAACCAACATTAGGACCTTACTAAAAGAAGCTCTCAGAAGCAATAGAAATCCGCCGTCACAAACCTTTGATCAACAGAGATCAAGGGTATTACATCTCGTCTGCCTATAAAGAGCTAATCAAACAATAGGCCTTTGTAATTGGTATTCTATCAGCTTGTCACGACTTTAATCCCTTTTAGCCATATTCCTACTGTACAGCTGGCGTCCTTACCTGTGTGTTATATGTTATTCCTACGGTATATCTGGCGTCATTACCTGTGTGTTATATGTTATTCCTACTGTATATCTGGCGTCATCACCTGTGTGTTATTTGTTATTCTTACTGTACATCTGGCGTCATTACCTGTGCGTTATATGTTATTCTTACTATACATCTGGCGTCATTACTTGTGAGTGAGTGTGAGTGAGTTGGGTTTTACGCCGCTTTTTAACAGTATTCCAGTTATATCACGGCGTGTCAGCTTAATGTGGGAGGAAAGCCCGAAGTGATGCAGGTCTCAGACGTTTACCACTTTGGTGAAACCCACGAGCACGGGTATGGTGCTGACAAACCTAGAAACATAATCGGGGCGAACCGGGATTCGAACCCACAATCATAGGTTTCTGGCGTGCCCAAGGGACGCAACTCTGCACAGCGAATTGCGGCGCCTTAGACGACTGGGCCACCCGTGCCCCCCGTCATTACTTGTGTGTTAATTGTTATTCTTACTGTACATCTGGCGTCATTACCTGTGTGTTATTTGTTATTCTTACTGTACATCTGGCGTCATTACTTGTGTGTTATTTGTTATTCTTACTGTACATCTGGCGTCATTACCTGTGTTTTATATGTTATTCCTACTGTACATCTGGCGTCATTACCTGTGTGCTATATGTTATTCCTACTGTACATCTGGCGTCATTACTTGTGTGTTAATTGTTATTCTTACTGTACATCTGGCGTCATTACATGTGTGTTATATGTTATTCTTACTGTACATGAGGCGTCATTACATGTGTGTTATATGTTATTCCTACAGTACATCTGGCGTCATTACCTGTGTGCTATATGTTATTCCTACTGTACATCTGGCGTCATTACTTGTGTGTTATATGTTATTCTTACTGTACATCTGGCGTCATTACCTGTGTGTTATATGTTATTCCTACTGTACATCTGGCGTCATTACATGTGTGTTATATGTTATTCCTACTGTACATCTGGCGTCATTACTTGTGTGTTAATTGTTATTCTTACTGTACATCTGGCGTCATTACCTGCGTGTTATATGTTATTCTTATTGTACATCTGGCGTCATTACTTGTGTGTTAATTGTTATTCTTACTGTACATCTGGCGTCATTACCCGTGTTTTATATGTTATTCTTACTGTACATCTGGCGTCATTACCTGTGTTTTATATGTTATTCCTACTGTACATCTGGCGTCATTACATGTGTGTTATATGTTATTCCTACTGTACATCTGGCGTCATTACATGTGTGTTATATGTTATTCCTACTGTACATCTGGCGTCATTACCTGTGTGTTATATGTTATTCCTACTGTACATCTGGCGTCATTACATGTGTGTTATATGTTATTCTTACTGTACATCTGGCGTCATTACCTGCGTGTTATATGTTATTCTTATTGTACATCTGGCGTCATTACCTGTGTGTTATATGCTATTCTAACTGTACATATGGCGTCATTACATGTGTGTTATATGTTATTCCTACTGTACATCTGGCGTCATTACCTGTGTGTTATATGTTATTCCTACTGTACATCTGGCGTCATTACCTGTGTGTTATATGCTATTCTTACTGTACATCTGGCGTCATTACCTGTGTGTTATATGTTATTCTTACCAAACATCTGGCGTCATTACCTGTGTGTTATATGTTATTCCTACTGTACATCTGGCGTCATTACCTGTGTGTTATATGTTATTCTTACCAAACATCTGGCGTCATTACTTGTGTGTTAATTGTTATTCTTACTGTACATCTGGCGTCATTACCTGTGTGTTATATGTTATTCTTATTGTACATCTGGCGTCATTACTTGTGTGTTAATTGTTATTCTTACTGTACATCTGGCGTCATTACCCGTGTTTTATATGCTATTCTTACTGTACATCTGGCGTCATTACCTGTGTGCTATATGTTATTCCTACTGTACATCTGGCGTCATTACATGTGTGTTATATGTTATTCCTACTGTACATCTGGCGTCATTACATGTGTGTTATATGTTATTCCTACTGTACATCTGGCGTCATTACCTGTGTGTTATATGTTATTCCTACTGTACATCTGGCGTCATTACATGTGTGTTATATGTTATTCTTACTGTACATCTGGCGTCATTACCTGCGTGTTATATGTTATTCTTATTGTACATCTGGCGTCATTACCTGTGTGTTATATGCTATTCTTACTGTACATATGGCGTCATTACATGTGTGTTATATGTTATTCCTACTGTACATCTGGCGTCATTACCTGTGTGTTATATGTTATTCCTACTGTACATCTGGCGTCATTACCTGTGTGTTATATGCTATTCTTACTGTACATCTGGCGTCATTACCTGTGTGTTATATGTTATTCTTACCAAACATCTGGCGTCAATACCTGTGTGTTATATGTTATTCCTACTGTACATCTGGCGTCATTACCTGTGTGTTATATGTTATTCTTACCAAACATCTGGCGTCATTACCTGTGTGTTATATGTTATTCTTACTGTACATCTGGCGTCTTTACCTGTGTGTTATATGTTATTCTTATTGTACATCTTGCTTCAGCCAATCATCTGTGTGATACCTGTTATCTATCCCCTGTTGTTGTTGTTGTTGTTGTTGTTGTAAATGTTAATCTGCTCACCCAACATATCATGTATATATACTTCTCTTCACTTGGTTGAAGTCACTCCAGCTTGACATCCGTGTAAGAATCATTGAAATGTGGCTATATGCAGTCAACCAGAAGTTGTTATAAATAAAGTTGTACGTTCTTTTACCGCTTTGAACAGTAATACAGTTATATCATATCGTGTCAGATTGAAGTGGAAGGAAACTTCGACGTGATACAGGTCTTAGATATCTACCACGATCACAGGTTAGCTGCTGACAAACCCTGAAACACGATCAATGCGACTCTTACGAGCATAATTCCTGGGCTAAGGGACGCAACTCTGCACATCCTTAATTGGCGAAGGACTGACATTTGCCATTCATTAACGAGGGGCAGAATTTCCTAAAGAAATGTTTTATCCTGAAAAAGAAACATACACCTGCAAGTGTACCTGAAGATTAGCTCTGCCCAGGTTCTCGCCAGCGTTAAGATACGTCCGCCGAGGCGATAATGTGGTAATTGTACTTTCACATAAACATAAATAACACTTCCGGAACTGTTAGCGCCACCCCGCCGACATATAGAACTGGGCTATTTGCTGACAAACCGTCAAAAATCATACTTTCATTTATATAATGCAATATTTTTCTATTAAAACTATTAAGACGTGGAGCGCTTACATCTCCAGCAAGTCTCTTTTGGCCAATGCCGTCATATAGCCCAAAGAGGCACTTTGGAGATGAAAGCAATCAGATATATAAATTCTGTATATGTTGCCCGAGATTTTTTTTCTTTAAACGTGTGCGTGCGTGTATGTATCAGACACATTGTCACAAACGAAAGGCAACAATCAACAATCTGAAACTCTCTCTCTCTCTCTGTCTGTGTGTGTGTGTGTGTGTGTGTGTGTGAGAGAGAGAGAGAGAGAGAGAGAGAGAGAGAGAGAGAGAGAGAGAGAGAGAGAGAGACACGTGGTCGTTAACTGGACTGAATACTGATCATACTTGCTACATACTTGGTGATGATATCGTTGTTGTAGTCGCTGCTGTCACAGTTCTTGTTGTAGTCGCTGCTGTTACTGTTGTTGTTGTTGTAGTCGCTGCTGTCGCTGTTGTGGTCGGCGTAGTAATGGACGCTTTTTGTGTTGTAGATTTCGTTACGCTCGTTGTTGAAGATGTAGATGGTGTTGTCGCAGTTGTAACAGGTGATACAGAAGACGTCGTGTTGAAGAAAATGCTGGAGGCCGGTGTAGTAGAAGGTGCTTCAGACGTAGTGTTGAAGAAAATACTGGATGTAGGTGTCGTAGACGATGCTGCAGACGTTGTGTTGAAGGGCATTGTTGATGTCGGTGTAGTAGACGGTATTGCAGACGTTGTGTTGAAGAAGACTCTATGTGTTGGTGGTGTAGATGAAGTAGCAGACGTTGTGTTGAAGGACATTGTTGATGTCGGTGTTGTAGACGGTATTGCAGACGTTGTGTTGAAGAAGACTCTATGTGTTGGTGTGGTAGATGAAGTAGCAGACGTTGTGTTGAAACTACTTGATGATGGCGTTGGAGACGTTGCTGCTGAAGATGTGTTAAAGAAGCTGGTTAGAGTTGATGTAGTAAGACGTTGTTTATGAAGATGCTAGGTGTTGATGCTGTAGTAGATGTTGCGGAGGTCGTGTTGTAGATGAGGTCGTGTTTGTGTAAGCTGTTGTTGCGTTTTGGGATGTCCCGGGATGTCGTTCTTGGGTAGGCGAATTTACCAATGCGCGACAATACGAGAATGCGACATTTTGACCATTTTCCGGTCAATGTGTATAACCAACACGGTGACCCACGGGACATTCTGAGCAATGCCGCAGGGTTCACTCAGCTCAAAACAGAAATCACAAGTTCTTAAACAAGTGAAAATGAATGTCTATTTTCTTGTAGTATACCCCTCTTTTGATTTTTTTTATACAGGGTGTATTATTTGGGGTTTCTTCTAAAAATGAACTATTATTATTTCATTATTATAATCAGAACTTCAATTTCCTGCGGCTCATCATACTCCAATATTTCATCTCGGCTGCATAAACCATATCTCATCTGTATTCACTACTTAAACCCAGCACACTCACCTACTTACGGATCTGTTTGTAGACCTACCTGACGTCGTGATGATGTCGTACTGTGCGAGGTTGGATGGTAGTATGTCCTCGTTGCAGGGTGTGGCCGGAGACGTGTTGTTACAGCACCACCTAAAGGAAAAGGATGTGGTAAAACAGATAATGGCCTATAAGTCGTGGGAATAACAAATTCCTTTATAAAAAGTTGAAATCGATTGGAAATAGTAAAAAATGCAAAACCGTTTCTTAACCAACATATGACGACGTTGCAATGGCATGACGCTCGGTCATAAGACAGAGGTGTGGAGGCGGCCATACAATAGTTTATTTTGCCTCAAAGTGACATTGACCAATCAGAGAGCAGAACTACTGGCCCCACACGAGCCCGTATACCGTCAGTAAAAATCCAAGATGGTTGATACTGACCTAATATGCGCCAGAAACAGCAACCTTGGATTTTCCAACACCCACCTCACATATTTCACATGAAAATTCTGGTACCGGAATTCGCTATTTGACACTGTTTTGTGTTTTACTATCATTAATTGTGATGTGTTAGGACATTAAACTGTTTTTTAGATCACGTTCGTGACTTTTTGATAAAGATTAAAGTTTATTTTTTTAACAAGGTTTGGCCTCTAGGGTTTGAAGAGTAGTCTCCCTTTGACCCTTAACGTCAACGTACGGTTGTAAGTGTCAAGTTTTTATTTTGACATGACACGTGCGATATGGAAACCAGAGATTGTAAACTCTTCGGCATAATATATTCGTTATGGTGTCTTCAGGTGCCGTATATGGTGTCAAATTAGGATAGCAGAAACATATTGGGCCAAGCGGGGTAGCTAAGTGGATAAAGAACTGGATCGTCACTCAGGAGATACGGGTTCGATGCCCAAAATGGGTACGATGTGACAAGCCCATTTCTTACACCCCAAGCCGTGATATTGGTGAAATATTGCAGAAAAGCGGCGTAAAACTCAACTCAATCACTCTCATCTATGACTATTCTTATGAAAATACACTGATCAACAAAATATGGAAACGTTTAGGGTCGGTGACCAACATACTTGCAGAGCAGACCGTGGTTTCCGGCGTGGATGTTGGTGAGGTTGGCCATACACACAGTCTGGGTTCGAGTCTGGAGCCACCAGTCCGAGTAGCACACTGTGTCGCTTACACATCTGAAGTTAACAAATGTCGAATATTCATGAAAGAAATAAAATTTAAAAAACAATAGAAATTCGTTAATGTTCTTTCTGTAACCGTTTGTCAGTTTTACAGTATGAACATGTAGTGATACAAATCGCTCCTGCAGACTGCATAAAGCTTAAAAGGGTCATTCTTATCTTAACGGGGGCGGTCGGGTAGCCTAGTGGTTAAAGCGATCGCTCGTCATGCCGAAGACCCGGGTTCGATTCCCGACATGGGTACAATGTGTGAAGCCCATTTCTGGTGTCCCCCGCCGTGATATTGCTGGAATATTGCTAAAAGCGGCGTAAAACCATACTCACTCACTCTTATCTTAACGTCAACGACCATTGGCTTGTCCCGAAATGACACGAGCGTTTACGATTGACATCGGTCACAAAAGGGCGATAACTCTACTCACTCTTTAGTGACAACCTTGTCCCCCTTCCCGTCAACCTCCAGTGTGTTCATGCAGAAGGGCTTGTCATCCGGGCAGTCAGCGAAATCTGTGACATCACATGTCGTCACTCCATCATCCACACATACTTGGCACCGGTTCTTCACTTTAGGGTAGAAATTCAAATAGTGATTAATATCTCGCTTTGCTTTCTGATATAGCTGAATGTTGAACAGAGACACATTTGTGAAGTGAGGCGCCACATGTGCTATAAGGACGATCCCAATTTGCCAGATGACTTAGTTTGCCTCTAAAAGGAGCGAGGAGAGGAGTCTTCCCACAAATGGCAGTTTTACCTAGTCTCCTCTTTGGTCAAGAGGGGCGTCGGGTAGCCTAGTGGCTAAAGCGTTCGCTCGTCACACCGAAGACCCGGGTTCGATTCCCGACATGGGTACAATGTGTGAAGCCCATTTCTGGTGTCCCCCGCCGTGCTATTGCTGGAATATTGCTAAAAGCGGCGTAAAACCATACTCACTCACTCGTTCTCTCACTCTTTGGTCATGTGGACAAGGCGTCTGACCTCCATCACGGGAATGTTATGGCATGTAGTAGACCTGCGCAATATACACACTCGACAGCCACGTGCACGACACTGCGATGCTGTATTCGAGGTTAAAGACAATACCTGTAAGTACTGGCGTAAATGCTAGAAAAATGCCTCTCCGGCTTTGTTTGATTTAGAAAATCAATGTATGATAAATTTGTCGCCGTTTGAGATTACAGATGGAATAAATTAACAATGAAATAGTTCAAACCTCATTTGTCGAGTAATTTTTCTTTGGTTGGTTAGCTCGTGAATTTATTTTACAGTCCTTTATATTTCATGTCATAAGCCGTTTAGCCAACCCGTGCTTCCGTACTGTATAATATCCGTTTTGGGTCTGACGTGGCACAAAACAAACACGTTGTCATCTTAACTGAACATCCTTCAATTCTGAGGTATTTCGTATTCAAATTTATCTACATGTATAACTCTATAATATTAACATAAATGTATACATGCATGTTTTGCCACAGCATATACGTAACTGAGTGAGGTTCCTGGTTTTATTTGTTTTTACAAAATATATTATGTTTAAGAAAATACTGAAAAACTGTTGGCTCAGGTTTTATAAAAAATAATAACATTGTTCTATAGAAACTTCCAAACCCTTGCGATAGAAACATCATTTGGTGCACGGTGGCTATTGAATCAATTGAGCAGAAAGTCTTATATGCCTGTTTCCTGTCACCTTACATAAACAGCCTTTCGTTCACTACTACGGGAAATTATTACAATACAGTGACGATCGATGCTTACTGACTGTAAGTGACAAGCGTCAACACATGCCACTTCCTAGCTAGCACGATGGCTAACATCTATTGATCAAATGCTAGCGACGTCCGTGCTTCATTGTGCTGGCTCTGGTGATGACCGCAGTTACTAAGATGTCGGGCAAAAGAAAGTATACACTTTACAATTGGACTGATTAATATTTACAAACTTACAAACTTGACTAGGCTGGAAACGGATGCCGAAACAATGCAACTAAGGTCCAAAACACAACTGTGATACCCGTATCAAATACATCATCATCGAACAACCATTTCTTGTTTGTTTCATTTTAGCCACCGTCAAACATGGGTGTATACTTTCTTTTGCCCGTCAGTTAAGTTTAAATGGATCATTTGGAGAAGTGACCCGTGAAGATCCGGGGTGGAATAGGTCTTCAGCAACCCATGCTTGCCGTAAAAGGCGACAATGCTTGTCGTAAACATCTTCCCGAGGCAAGTGAATTAACTGACTGTAAAAGTCCAGTTTCCACCCTTGCCGAACTAGGCTGGTATTATGGAGTTACATTTTGGCTGGACTAACGAGTCTCTGCATAGTCCAATCAAAATCGCGCACCGAAATCGAAATCCGGTTCGTAAAGTGTCATGCAGATTTCGGTTGACTGCAGGATTTGCAAAGCTCGTTGTCAACAGATATTTTCTAACTCTTTTCATGTTTTTAATCAAGGTGGTCACGTGATTTGATGCACTTCGCGATGTAAGACTCGTTTTATCACAATTTAGATCTTGATTATCGATCAGATCGTCTTGACTGGGCGCCACCGTTTTGTTTGAAGCAAATGCAAGTGATACGAGAGGTTGAATCTGATTGGTCAATAGGAGAGGCATAGAAAGGACATAACTCATAGCCACTGGTGGTGCTACGATCGAGCCCAGGAATTCCAGCCAAGTTCGGTAAGGGTGGAAACTGGACTTTTAAAGTCAGTTAACTCTCTTGCCTCGGGAAGATGGTCGTAAAAGGCGACTAACGGGATCGGGTGGTCAGGCTCGCTGACTTGGTTGATGCATGTCATCGATCCCAATTGCGTGTATTGATGCTCATGCTATTAGTCACTGGATTGTCTGGTCCAGACTCGATTATTTACAGACCGCCGTCATATAGCTGGAATATTGCTGAGTGTAAAACAACAAACCAACCAACCAACCATTTGGAGAATTCGAAGTGGAATGAACGGTAGACGCCTCTAGCTTGATACCTTGAATTCCCACGTGAGGAGAGTTGAATGTATTTTAACCGTTAATCTGTGGTATGCATTGCCACGTGTGGAGAGATTAATGTATTTGCTACCGTTAATCTGTGGCATGCAGTGCAACCTCGTTAAATCGGACCCCGTTAATCCGGAAATGCTACTTTCCGGGCGATTCTTTTTGGAACGTCTATATGTATACAAACGATTTTACCGGGTTGTTCTTATCCGGACGAATACAGTGTGAACGATAGCGCCCAGTTTAACGCGATTCATTGTCACAATACTGGTCAGGGGCGATAACCCTGAACTCACTTATTCAGACATTTCTTTGTTATAATTGTCATCGCCTTTCCATAGCAGATAATTTTTTTGTTTCTCATTTATAGTTTTAGAATAAAACTATACCTACCTCAAGTTAAACACAGAGGCATACCTAATTTTGGTGTAGTTGTTGTGGTCGTTGTCGTCGCTGTTGGTGGTACAGTAGCCGTTGATGGCACAGTAGACGTTGATGGCACAGTAGTCGTTGATGGCACAGTAGACGTTGATGGCACAGTAGTCGTTGATGGCACAGTAGACGTTGATGGCCCAGTAGTCGTTGATGGCACAGTAGACGTTGATGGCACAGTAGTAGTTGTAGTAGATATTGGCGTTGTAGCTACAACAGACATGCATTCTAAGCTATGAAATTATGAGATCGAAACAAATATATCACCCGATTGTTCATTCCTTCATAAACATTGTGATATATAGAGAATATCACCCGAGCGTCTTTTGATATCAAATATATCAACACGAGTTGATAAAAGTGGAAAGACTCCGAGGCTTGCCAAGGCGTTTTTCCACTTTTATCCTCGAGTGTTGATATACAGTAATCTACGGTTATAACGAACACGGTTATAACGAACTGACGGATATAACGAACTTACTTTTTTGGTCCGACTATTTGCTGTAGTTATGCTGTATATATGCTTATAACGAACTACGGTTATAACGAACTAAAATTAGTAGTCCCTTTGAGTTCGTTATAACCGTACTTTACTGTATTTGATATCCAAAGACACTCGGATGAGATTTTATTTATCTAACAATACATGTATGCTTGTCATAAGACAAGCTCGGTGACTTGGATGATGCATGTTTTCGTATCCCAATTTTGTTGATAGATGATCATGATGTCAATCACTTAAACTGAATAACTTTCACCACAAAGAAAGTGGAAAGCCTGGCTTATGTTCCGACCTACCTTTCGTAGTGATGTCGTACTGTACGAAGTTGTTTGGTTGAACGTCACTGTTGCAGGGTGTGCCTGAAGACGTATCGTTGCAGCACCATCTACAGAGTGAGTGAGTTGGGTTAAAGTCATTCACACATTGTAGCCATGTGGGAAACGGACCCCCGGTCTTCGGCATGACGGACAAACGCTTTAACCACAAGGCTACCCCACCTCCCCTAGGATTTATGTTTGTTTGTTTGTTGTTTAATGCCGCACTCGGAAATATTCGAGATATATGACGGCGGTCTGTTAATTACCAAGTCTGGACCAGACAATCCAGTGATTGATACCATGCGCATCGATCTACGCAATTGGGATACTTTGACATGTGTATCAACCAAGTCAGCGAGCCTGACCACCCGATCACGTTAGTCGCCTCTTACGACAAGCATAGTCGCCTGTTCAACCTTGTATCTTCACGGGTCCCTAGGATTTATGGGAAAATGTGCTTCTTTGAGATACCCATACAATAAAATAACGTCTAAAAATATCAGATGTGACACAACTTGCAAACTCACATTTAGAGTCTGGCCGGCTAATATTTAAACAAGTTTCTTTCAGTCATGCGTTCTATTCATCAACAGTTTTCATAATTGGTACCACCAAAGGGTTAGAAATAACCGAGTCCATAAATTCCGTCATCCGTACGGCACTGTTGATATCATTTCGAATCTTATTGTGGCGTAAGGTCGGAATGACGTCACACTAGAAACGACGTCATAGCTAAAGATTGTTGACGTCATTCAACAAATTTTGTTTTTCTAGGACAGCGGTGGTTCTCAGTGCAGTTTTGTGAAGGGGAGCTCAAAAGGATTAAGAAATAATGGGTAGTAAAGAAGTTATGACACTCACACGTGTGTCATACTGATTTTACGAAACTCGTGTAAGAATTCATGTATTACCCTCGCTCTCGCGCGAGACATACACGAATTCTGACACTCGTTTCGTAATATCAGCATGACACATTTGCTCGTATAATAATTTCTATTTATTATCCATATCATGTAAACATAATAGCTGTGATCATACTTGCAGAGCAGACCGTGGCTACTGGCGTGTAGGTTGGTGAGGTTGGTCATACACACAGTCTGGGTTCGAGTCTGGAGCCACCAGTCCGAGTAGCACACCGTGTCACTTACACACCTAGGAATAAAATTGTATTTCGTGTCTTTGAATGAAACCTATATGAAATGTATCAATATCGAGCCGATCCTATATCTACAGACGCGTATGGTAAACATGAAAGTGTCTTGGACTCTTCCGATAGAAATGTGTACTCATGACTTTCTTATCTTTAGTTATATAATCAATAATAAACCAGTTGTTTTTTAAAAAAGATTAAAGCTTAAAGGTGTGCAAATCATAATATTGTTTTTATTCGAGTTATATTTGATATGTGAAAACGTACCCTGAATTAAGTCATCTATTACCCTTATTAAAGGATTGTCTGAACACTGTGGGCTATAATTCGATCCATTATAGTATACAGAATCTGTCGTTATACATAAAAGGTGATGGAACCATATTTGATAAGAACCAGTGTGCACATGTGACATTGCAGCGCAGGATATATGCGTAACACTCTCGGTAGGCACCAATATATCGCTGTGTGGAGCTTAGGGTATATTGACGTCCTCTGCGATGTCATAATTGGTAACGTGTGTCAATGAATGAGATGAAGTCTGTTAAATAATTGAACATACACTGCGGTGGCTACATAATCCAGATGAAACCTGATCTTGCAGTTAAACTGAAATTAGTTTCAACTTGGATTTTAATGTATTTTGTGATTTCCTCTTGAAAACCAGACACAACAGTTCTACTCACTCCTTAGTGACAACCTTGTCCCCCTTCCCGTCAACCTCCAGTGTGTTCATGCAGAAGGGCTTGTCATCCGGGCAGTCAGCGAAATCTGTGACGTCACATGTCGTCACTCCATCATCGACACATACTTGACACCGGTTCACTAATGTAAAGATAATAAATTATTTACTTTTCTTAATTTTTCGCAATTGTTCGTTTTTTTAAAAACGAAAAATATTCCTTACTAATATAAGAAAAAGATAAGATTTGGCCCCCACAATCTGCATATTTTAAAAAAAAGAGCAGCCTTGGGAAGTTTGTTTGTTTGTTTGCTTGTTTGTTTGTTTAACACCACACTCAGCAATATTCCAGTTAGTAGACGTCGGTCCGTAAATGATCGAGTCTGGACCAGACAGTCCAGTGATTGACATAATGAACATCGATCCACGCAATTGGGATGCGATGACATGCATCAGCTAAATCACGGAGCCTGACCACCCGATCCCGCTAGTAGTCTCTTTCGACAAGCATGGGTTGCTGAAGATAAATTCTGACCAGGATCTTCACTTGCATGGTTTGGACTTAAAACTATATATAGGGAGGAGAGGTAGCCAAGTGGTTCGTCACGAAAATGACCCGGGTTCAATTCGCGACATTGGTCCAAAATGCTAAGCCAATTTCTGCTGGCCCTTCGCCATAATGTGGGTATTATAAAAGCATAAAACCCGATTCGCCCCCTCACTCACCATACTAAACTAAAATGTGTTCGTAAGGCTAGAACTTATGAGACGGCCCAATTGTAGTTTTCATTGTTGACACTTTTTGTAGCAGCGTGAGTCACATTACTAAAGTTACGGTGCTGTGGAAGAGCTATATATGTTAAATTAGGAATAGATACACCATGAAAACTCTTCACAAAGGAGGAGGTTTGTTACTTTATATATATCATTACAGGAAGTGCGTGTTGTGTTTCGAAGGATAATTTGATACACATCGATCCTCAGTTAAACCTAAAAAAAACGGACTTAACTTTCTGGTCACGTTATCGTAGAAATGACCCTTTAATTATATACTCCTCAACATTTAATAGGATAAACTTTAACTTTCCATGATGCACAGAATTTAATATCATAATATGTGAAGTATATATTTAAAATTAATAAAATGACATTTCTGATTTTTCCTATCAAAAGTTGAGTAGTATATATTAGACTTTCCTAATTCCGGATTCACGGGTAGTTTCAGTATGCAAGTACGTACCTAATTTAGGCGTAGTTGTCGTGGATGTTGTGGTCGACGGCTGCGTTGTCGACGGCGCTATATAACAGAGGAAAAAGACAACATATTGTTTATTTGTTCCTTGTAAGTTGTTTAACGCCACACCCATCAATATTCCAGCTATATGACGGAAGTATGTAAATAATCGAGTCTTGACTACACAATCAAGTGATTGATACCATTAAGATCGATCTTCGCAACAAGGATACGATGAGTGAGTGAGGACACCGCTTTTAGAAATATTCCAGCAATATCACAGCGGCGGACACCAGAAATGGGCTTCTCACGTTGTACCCATGTTAGGAATCGAACCCGGGTTTTCAGGGGTGAAGAGCGAAGGCTGGGCTACCCAACTGTCCCTGGGATACGATGACATGTATTGACCAGCCTGACTACCCGATCCCGTTAGTCGCCTCTTACGACAGACCCGTGAAGATTCCGGAGTAGAATAGGTCTTCAGCAACCCATGCTTGCCGTAAAAGGTGACTATGCTTGTCGTAAAAGGCGACTGACGGGATCGGGTGGTCAAGCTCGCTGACTTGGTTGATGCATGTCATCGATCCAAATTGCGTGGATCGATGCTCATGATATTAATCACTGGATTGTCTGGTACAGACACGATTATTTACAGACCGCCGTCATATAGCTGGAATATTGCTGAGTGCGGCGTTAAACAACAAACCAACCAACTAACCAACCAACCTCTTACGACAAGCATAGGTTGACGAAGACGGATTCTAACCCGGATCTCCAAGGGGCGCAATATTTTGGATAAAAGTTAGGTGGAGTTTTACTATTGCTTTGCGCAGTAGCACACTAATCAATATAAACAGTATAGTGTTTTTCATCATGTCGATTCATGTGCGTCCCATTAAATCGGAGCATGGTGACACTAGTTAAGAAATCTGACGAATATGTTCGCTGGATTCACAGCGATTACACAGAATGTGACGAGAAAGTGTAAACACATTGTGAAATTTACATGTAGTCGGGATGTCGTACTGCACGAGGTCGCCTGGCCTGACGTTGCTGTTGCATGGCGTCCCTGGTGACGTGTCATTACAACACCACCTGCAGAGTAAAAATGGAACCATAGCTAGACCCATTCTCATAAAAAAAAAACATCCTGTATCTCAAAAACGTTCCGAAATCATATCACGTGACCCAGCAATATTCCAGCTATATGACAGCGGTTTGTAAATAATCGAGTCTGGGCCGGACAATCCAGTGATGGACACCATGAGCATCGATCCACCCAATTGGGATACGATGACGTGCATCAACCAAGTCAGCGAGCCTGACCACCCGATCCTGTTAGTCTTTCGACAAGCATAGGTGGTTGAATCGATCTATGCAGTTGGGATACGAAGATATATGCTTCATCCAGGTCAGCAGCCCAGACTTAGTAGTAGTAGTAGTAGTAGTAGTAGTAGTAGTAGTAGAAAGAGGTAGTAGCAGTGGCAGTATTATTGGTAGGAGAAAGAATACATAGTAGTAGACGTAGAAGTGGTAGTAGGTGTAGAAGTTGTAGCTAGTAGTAGGAGTAGTAGCAGTAGTAGTAGGAGTAGAAGTGGTAGTAGGAGTAGAAGTAGTAGTAGAAGTGGTAGTAGAAGTGGTAGTAGGTGTAGAAGTGGTAGTAGGTGTAGTAAAGGTTGAAGTGTAAGTAGTAGTTGCATCCCAGGATTTACTTGGCATGGGTTCGAATCCCAAATTCGTCCCGATTATGATTCTTGGACTGTCAACACTACACGCTACTGTCGACAAAGCCGGGAATGACAAGCGAACATCAAATACTAACTATTCTGGCGTGGTGTGGTAACAGCTGCCCACCATGTTAAACAACCATTAGTATACAGTGTACCTACTTGCAGAGCAGACCGTGGCTGCTGGCGTGTATGTTGGTGAGGTTGGCCATACACGCATTCTGGGTTCGAGTCTGGAGCCACCAGTCCGAGTAGCACATCGTGTCACTTACACACCTAGGTGTAAATGTTTAATTTTGGGCGTTTATTAATAATTTCATTTCACATGTTCAAGTTTGCAACAGTTTAAATTTGGGAGGTAAATGTTGGCGGGACTGAGGATATAACAGTTTATATGTAGGGCATTGTTATGCTGATGTTAACGTTGACGTGCCGTGTTGATGTTGACCTTATGTGGTGTTATGATGAAAATATCTTGACGTTGTTGGTGTTATGTTGATGTTACCAATGTTGGCGTTATGTTGATAAATGTTGCTATATTTATGTTAACGTGTCATGCTGATTTCATAATGTTTATGTTAACAACATGTTCAGGAATGTTGATCTTATCAATATCACCACATGGGTCAAGTGTGTGAAGCCCATTTCTGTTGTTCCCCGCCGTAATATTGCTGGAATAGTCACTGTGCAAAATATGGCGTAAAACCTCATTCAGTCGATCTTATCGATATCGAAGTTGGTGTTATATTGATCAGTGTTGATATATTGATGTAAAATTATAATATTGATGCTATAATGTTGAAGCTGTTGTTGTTGTTAAGCTGATCCACCTTGTTAAGTTGATGTTTTCGATACTGGCGTTACGTTGATCAATGTTGAGTTGATGTTTTCGATATTGGCGTTACGTTGATCAATGTTGAGTTGATGTTTTCGATATTGGCGTTACGTTGATCAATGTTGAGTTGATGTTTTCGATATTGGCGTTACGTTGATCAATGTTGAGTTGATGTTTTCGATATTGGCGTTACGTTGATCAATGTTGAGTTGATGTTTTCGCTACTGGTGTTACGTTGATCAATGTTGAGTTGATGTTTTCGATATTGGCGTTACGTTGATCAATGTTAAGTTGATGTTTTCGATACTGGCGTTACGTTGATCATTGTAAAGTTGATAGTTTCGATACTGGCGTTACGTTGATCAATGTTGAGTTGATGTTTCGGTATTGGCGTTACGTTGATCAATGTTGAGTTGATGTTTCGATACTGGCGTTACGTTGATCAATGTAAAGTTGATGTTTTCGATACTGGCGTTACGTTGTTCATTGTAAAGTTGATAGTTTCGATACTGGCGTTACGTTGATCAATGTTGAGTTGATGTTTTCGATATCGGCGTTACGTTGATTATTGTTAAGTTGATGTTTCGATACTGGAGTTACTTTGATCAATATTGAGTTGCCGTTTCGATATTGGCGTTACGTTGATCAATGTTAAGTTGATGTTTCGATACTGGCGTTACCTAACCGGGTTGATCATTGTTAAGTTGATGGTTTCGATATTGGCGTTACGTTGATCAATGTTGAGTTGATGTTTTCGATATTGGCATTACGTTGATCATTGTTAAGTTGATGTTTGCGATATTGGCGTTTGGTTGATCAATGTTAAGTTGATGTTTTCGATATTGGCATTAGGTTGATCAATGTTAAGTTCATGTTTCGATATTGGCGTTACGTTGATCAATGTTTATCAATGTTTTCGATAACGTTGATCAATGGTACCTTCACGTTGTAATGTTTGTTTACTATTGTGAATACATTTGATGGCCTCCTTACTTTGTCAACACAGTAAATGGGTTTGTTTACTGTTTAACGCCCAAAACAAAGGGTCCAACTTTGGTTGACATTTGAATCCGAGTACAGGGCTTAATGTCACCGAATAGGGAACTCTTACGATAACTCTACTCACTCTTTAGTGACAACCTTGTCCCCCTTCCCGTCAACCTCCAGTGTGTTCATGCAGAAAGGCTTGTCATCCGGGCAGTCAGCGAAATCAGTGACGTCACATTTCGTCACTCCATCATCCACACATACTTGACACCGGTTCTTCACTTTGAGGTAAAAGGTCAAATGGTCATTAATATCGCACTAAGTATTATCATGCAGTTGATGCTGAATTTTAGAAGATGCACAAAGGACAATTTGGAATAGGAGTTGCTAGAAACGTTCCCTGTGTATTTGAAAGGTTATTTCAATGAAACAAACAAGAATGGTTATTTGATGGTAATGTATTTGAAACGGGTATCATAGTTGTGTTTTCGGGCTTACGTTTGCCGTGTTTCGGTGACTTGTTTTCAACGTTGTAACGTTTTGATAACGTCTGTAATTTTCTATACTTTCCTTCACTTACATTTCTCCGTGATAGAGATAATTGGGTATAAACAGTTGAGGTACGTGATAAGTTCACCTGTTGATGATGTTGTTCTCGCAGATGTTAGCGTTGAGGGTGACGTTGACGTGGATTTAGATGTGCTCTTGGTTGTGATCACTATGAGTTTAAAGAAACCAAACATATTCAACTGTAGTATTTGGACATCTTTCCGAGGCAAGGGAGTCAACTGACTATAAAAGTCCACTTTCCAACCTTGCCGAACTAAGCTGGTATTATGGAGTTTTGGGCTGGACTAACGAGTCTATACATAGTCCAGTCAAAATCGCCAAACGAAATCGACATCCGGTTCGTAAACTGCCGTGCTTATTTCGGTAGATTGCAGGATTTGCAAAGCATGTGTACCGCAAACTCGGCGTCAACCGATATTTTCCAAATCCTTTCATGTTTAAGGTGCTCACGTGATTTAATTCACCCGTTTTATCACAATATATATTTTGATTTCGATCAGATCGTCTTGACTGGGCGGCGCCATTTTCTTTGAAGCAAATGCAAGTGATATATGAGGTGAAATCTGATAAGTCAGTTGGAGGAACATAGCGGGGATATAACTGGTAATAGCCACTAGTGGCGCTACGATCGAGCCCAGAAATCCAGTCAAGTTCGGCAAGGGTGGATTGGTGACATGCAGTTGTAGGTAATGTATTGCCTATGCTGTTCTTACTTCGCCAAAGGCTTGAGCAATTTCTTCACATCAAGGCCTAAATTATTCCTGCATACAAACCACGGCCTGCTCTCTGTGACTGAACCATGGGTAAACACGTACCTGTAGGAGACGAAGTGGCAGCTGTAGAAGATGGCGTTGTCGTAGTTGTAGTAGATGTCGTTGTTGTAGTAGATGTCGTAGGAGAAGTCGATATAGTTGTTTGTGTTACTGACAATGAAAGGTATACCTTGATCGATTAGGCTCCAGTAAAGATAAAGTTAGTATGGGTCATGACGGCAGGTCCTTGGTAATTTCAAGACTTTATCTCGAAATGCATGTTTTAAATAAACCCCTATCCGTATGTACACAAAGCAGTCTTCCACATAGCTGCCTTCCCATCATCCTTTGGCCAGTAAAAATATGCGGGCAAATATCATAAGTATCCTGTCCTGTCTTCATAATTAAGCATAATATTGACATTAAAATATGTTGATATATCCCTCGTCCAGTCATCATAGACCGCCTCCGTGGTCTTGTGGTAGAGCGTCCGCCCGTAGAGCGGAAAGTCCGAGGTCGATCCCTGACCGCGTCATACCCAAACACGTTAAAAGGTGGTACTTGTTGTTACCCTGTCTAACGCTCGGCATTAAGGGGCTTAAACTGGGACTGGTCGGCTCGGAGTCAGTATACTGTGTCTGAGGGGGGTATTCATGTTAAACTACGATATGGTATTCCAGTGGGCTAGCACTATAAAACCGTTATTAGTTCGGACTAGTACAAGCAGCCTCACACACAAGCATAGACGTCGCTATATAAGTGCAATAATCATTGTACTCGTACGTCAGTGCTACCAGTGCCGGCTGGACAGATTACAGTTTAAAGCCGATAGTCGAAACTGAGCCACGTGTCGCTGTTTTGAGCTAATGCGACAAGTGTCACACTTGCTCCAATGAAGTCAAAAATATGAAGACTATAAAAAAAAGAACTATCAAATGTCCAATGTGAAGGATGACTTGTGAGTTTGGCCGGAGCCCTGGGATAATGGAGGACATTCCTACATCTGCCGTCTACTTCTTGACTGTAATAACCCAAGTCCGATTACAAGTTTCACGTCACGTCAAAATAGAAACGGATAACTATTTAACTGTAACATGAACTCAACTAAGTGGGAAAACAAAGGTTCACCTTGGGGCAGGTTTGTAAACATAACTAGATGTGAGGGAAGTAGTGTCGCAAGGTTGTTGCAGAACGCACTGACACCCACGGCCCTACAGCAGAAGTGACAGGAAGATGGCCGACTTCCGGTGGAGGTGAGAAGGTCATCCCGGAAGCACTCCGGATTTGTGGATGTCCTTTGCCACCAAAGTTGATAACACTCGCTACGGTCTGCGCAGCTGGGGAAACAACGACCATTTGTTACCATGGTTACTTTGGTTCTTAATAAAGGAAATGCTAAACAGACTAATTTGTTATATGTATTCATATCTGATACCAAGTAATATTTCAGCTATGTATGCATGTCATCGTATCCCAACTACGTGGATCGATGCTCCTGATGTCAAACACTGGATTGTCTGGTCCAGAATCGATGAATTACAGACCGCCGTCATATGGCTGGAATATTGCTGAGTGCGGCGTTAAACAAAAAACAAACAAATTTAAGCTATATGGGAGAATGGGAGTGTTGTCTGTAACACCTACTGTTTCTTCGAATCCCGGTTCGCCCCGAGTATGTTTCCAGTATGTTTGCCATACTCGTGCTCGTGGGTTTCACCAAAGTGGTAAACGTCTGAGACCTACATCACTTGGGAGTTCCTCTCCCATTAAGCTTACATGCCGTGAAATAACTGGGAACGCGGCTTTGAAACCAAATTCTAACCTTCAACTACTGTTTCATTCAGTTAATACATGCTGATTGGGACAGTTCTGCTTCATATAACGTTGGCATTTACAAACTCAAAAATGTTTCCGACAAAAAAATCGGATGTCTTTCGACATAAGAAATTGTTTTTTCCGTCCAGGAGTTGTTTGTTATCCATTGTTCATTTCAAAATGCAGTATGACCTTTATTAACGTTATTCAAAAGTTGGACAGCTTGTTGTCCTATCTGGTTTAAAGAAACAGCTCACTCCTTTTCTATCCTGTACGAGCTACCCTGGCTGTAGTATGACGTCATGCAGTAGGGGGCTCTGCCCCCACAGACACGGTGCTGATGGCCCTGGTCACAGTGTAGTCCCTTGCTGGGGTCTTCCACGCAATGCATACACACCGTCGCTAAAACACGTGTGAAAGCAACATAATACATATTTAATCTCTTGTGTTTGTATCAATGTAATTGCATCTGTTTTATTCCAGCAGTGTTATCTACATTCGGAACCTGTCGTTTAAATTCGTTTCGAGAAATAGGATATGCTGGTCTTAATGCTTCGTGTCGAAATTTAGAAGCCTCGTCGCTCGAAGTATCGTAGCAAGAGTAAACGATCTGATTTAAATGATATTGCACTTGACTGGTAAAGCACTGTGTGGAGAGTGCCGGGAGCTGGTTACGCTATATATGTGGAACTGGCGAGTCCTGCCTCATCTCACATTACATCAAGACCAGTTTTCGTGTGAAGATCGCTTTTCCCCCTGGTGTTCAGCCTAGGCCTATCTCGGAAGCCAGGCCAGTGTCGAGGTGATTATTATTTCTTATCATTGTCATTTACGGGATCTGGTAAGCAGACTCGCTGACTTGGCTGATGCATGTCATCGTGTCCCCAATTGCATTGATCGATGCTCATGATGTCAATCACTGGATTGTTTGGTCCAGACTCGATAATTTACAGACCGCCGTCACATAGCTGAAATATTGCTGAGTGCGTAAAATAACAAACCAAACAAACCATGACTAGAAATGGCGATGACTTTGACATCATAATACTTACTTTAGTAACTAGGAAATATAATCTGCACATTATAATCAGTGTCAATCAGTGTGGAACACTTTAGCTCCCATTATATCGCAATTACGTGTCGCAATACAGATAAATGTACATGTATTGCAATATATAAGATACCTACGCGATAAATCGCAAAGGACAATGGAGCACGAAGCCTGGTTTATTCCGCGACGTTAAACAACAAACAAACAAAACATTTCATACTGCCATTGAATATTGTACTACCATTCTATTATGTACTTATGCCTGGACGCTCGAAGTATCGTACCAAGAGTAAACTATCTGATTTAAATGAGATTGCACTGTGGCCTAATGCACATCCTCTACGGTACCGTGGTTTAATTCGATCGCCTGACATCCTCACCGGAAGGAAGTGGAGTGTGATGCTGTATCCCGTGCGTACTCCGATGATGGTGGGGATGGTACGTCGTCACGGGGTGATACGGGGTGAATGGTACACGATGTGTTGTTTGCTTTGTTGTTGCAGCTGGTGTTGGCTTAGGGGTTGTAGTTGTTGGGGCTGGCGTTGTAGTTGTTGTTGTTGGAGCTGGCGTTGTAGTTGTTGGAGTTGGCGTTGTAGTTGTTGGAGCTGGTGTTGTAGTTGTTGGAGCTGGTGTTGTTGAAGTCGTGGTGGTTTTTGGAGCTTGCGGCAAAAGATATATTGATGTGTTTGTGTTCAGGGTATATTAGATATTGTTTAAAAGGTGAATAGTGAATGGTGAGTCGGTATACGTTATACGACTTACATTAACCCCCGTTTTAAGCAAGTCCATCAAACGAATCCTGCAGACGGGAGGCAATAGATAATATCCGAAAGACCATTTTGACACACTGTGAATGAACTCGTGTCTGAGACAACCATATTACAATTTGAAATATATAAAATGAAGTGGGAGAGAGATAAAAAAAAAGGAGGAGGTTGATGATAAATGGTTAATTTATACACTCCATTGTACCATTTCGATAAAATAACTCCTTCTTTTCATTTTCAAGTAAGAGTTACCAGTGACTGTACTTAAAGTGTAATTAATTACGCATTCAAAAGAATTTTAACTTGTGTTAGTTCTTCGTCCTAACACGTTTGTATCTTAGAATATTAATAATACCCGGGTTCAGTCGTCTCTGGCTTCTAAATTCGCTGCCAAGAGTTGCTCCCCTTAGACGTACCAGCATCCTATGATCGTGGGTTCGAATCCGAGATTCGTCCTGATTTTGATTATTCTTTATCACCGTACCAAGGGTTAACCAAGGGTTTATCTGAGACCTGCATCACTTCAGGCTTTCCTCCCATGTAAGATAACTGAAACATTGTAAACCTAACACACTCACTCACTCACTCGCGTATGTACCTACGACTACAGTGTCAGGAAACTGAAGCGGATCTGTGGGCCAGTTGTCATTATTGCAGTGTCTTCCCGCGCAGCACATGCTGCACGTGCTTCCTGTTGCTAGGTGACCCGATCTGACAGCCGATTGGCTGCAGGCTTGGTTTTTACTTGTTCTCTGCCACCAAAGGTTGTGGCAGGTGTCTTTGGAGGCGCACCTAGATGTTGAGAATGAAATACACATTGAAATAAAAAACTGTAAAACTCCACTATCCCGACCGTGTCCTGTGAAATTGTCCGGAATAACGGTTGTCTGCCACGGATCCCGTGAATCATATATATACGTTCCTAAAAGTATTCGCCCATGGAGTTTCTATAATACCGAGGTCCAGGATACCGGGATTACACTGAATATATATAACGTATTTGATTGTGTGCGCTTGTGTTCAAACAAACTCACAATCATTAACATAAATCATGATGACACATTGGTATCTGTCGTCACATAATTTGAAATGCGAAACCTGGTGGGCATTTTGTGATTAGTGTGTCAATTGGGTTTAACGCCGCTTTTAACCATATTCCGGCGTGTCAGCTTAATGTGGGAGGAAAGTCCGAAGTGATGCAGGTCTCAGACGTTTACCACTTCAGTGAAGCCACGAGCACAGGTATGGTGCTGACAAACCTAGAAACATAATCGGGGCGAACCGGGATTCGAACCCACAATCATAGGTTTCTGGCGTACCCAAGAGACGCAACTCTGCACAGCGAATCGCGGAGCCTCAGCCGACTGGGCCACCCGTGACCCCTATTTTGTGGTTAAAAACCGCAACTGACTTATTAAGTATTATGTGATGTTGAAAGAGACGAGAAACAAACTCACTGTTTAGTTATTTTAACACCGCTACCGTCTGCTGTTAATGTATTCATACAAAATGGCGCCCCCTTAGTAAGATAGCATATTGTGTATGCACTGCTGTCGTCTCTCTGCATGCTGCACGTGTTGCTTGGGTCATTGTCGTCACATATGCGGCAATACGATGCTGGAAAATTTAAAAACATGTTTGTTCGTTTAAATTGCTTCTACATGTACCCTGTACATGTATGTTATATTTCTTAATAACAAGGCTTGTCCGTACCGTACACCCATCATCGACCCAGCCCCTACCACAGCTGCGTTGTGAGTTCCAGTGATTTCTTGAAATCCTGATGTTGTTACCAAAGTATGAAACTTGGGAGGTTTAGTAGACTAGCTGATCACGCCTAAGGACCGAGTTCGATACCCCAATGTTGTTTAATACTTTGCAAAAATATGCCTGCTATATGACGGCGGTCTGTAACTAATCGAATCTGGACCAGACAATCCAGTTATTGACATCGTAAGCATCGATCCATGCAATTGGAATACGATGACATGCATCAATAACGTCATTGAGCCTGACCACCTGATCCCGTTAGTCGCATCTTACGACAAGCATCGGTCTGTAAGTAATCGAGACCGAACCAGACAACCCAGCGATTGATATCATGAGCATCGATGAACGCAATTTGGATACGATGACATACATCAACGAGTCTATTCACACGACCCTGTTAGTCGCTTCGTACGACAAGCATGGGTAGCTGAACATCAATTCTTAAAAAAAATAATCAATAAATTAAAAGAAATCAATGAGCATTCCCCCAAATGGGTGGGTATACAGTGTGTCAAACCAACTTCTTCTGGCGTCCACCATCATGATTATATACGGCAACAAGCCGAAAGCGGAAAAAAACATAAGTTTGTATGCAGAAGGTACGGAATACTTTTTTTTCTTCGCCTGAATCGTAAATCCGCATTTTTTTCACTGGAAATTTTATCGTCTGGATTAGCGATGTTTGTATGTATACTCCTTCTGCGAATATAAACTTCGGAGGTACATTATAATCAACACAATGAAAAGCTTTCATAATAGTACATGTTATGTATAGAGAAACCTCTTTAGTCCGGATACCGTTAATCCGGAATTTGAGTTCCGTACGATTACTGTTGGTAATGCCTATATATAATGAAAGTGAAATTACAAAACACCAATGATTCCCTTACCCGGCAATTTGTTAATCCGGACAATGTCACGGGGAACGGTACCGTCCGTATTAACGAGGTTTCACTGTACATCCATTAATAATATGTAAGAATCGTTACCTCTGGTGTCTAGGGGGTCGCCTCCTAGTAAGTAGGGGTTTACCCAGGGGATCAAATTGCAAGCTGAAACAAGGTGACGAAAACTGCATGTAACATCATCATCACTGTACAGGTGCATTATTATTATATTTTGACAGATAATCAGTTAAATTTCCTTAATAAATAGTTTTTTTTAGAAATATTTTTTTGTTGGAAAACACCTTAACGTCAAAAGGTTTGTGTTAATAGTGAGAATAAATAAATTGTATGATGATGCTCAGTAGACAATTGTTTGTTGGATACAGCTGGTAAAAAATAGATTAATCTTTGAAAATCCCCCCCCCCCCCCCCCCCCTCTATAAATCAAATGGATGCTCCCTTAATGGTGGCCCACTGCAATTCGCTGTAAAGAGTTGCGAGCCTTAGTCGTGCCAGGATTCGAATCTCTAATCCGCACCGATTATGATCCTTGGTTAGTGAGCACCATATCTGTTTCTCCAGTGAGATAAGGGTTTTATTTACAAAACCCAAATCCGGTCCCTTACAAGATCTGTATACGGTCAGTGGAGTCTCTTAGACGACGACACGACATCTTGCACAGTGGTCATATATCTACACTCCGCTTGTCTCGAACTACGCATACCTCGATATAATTATTATTGCCATTTACTTCAAGTTAGTAGGTTTTACTGAATATTCATTTAGTGCCTCTATGTACAGACTTATGAGAACTACACAGTGAGATAAGATCGGTGTACACTGGACGACATTCGTGACGGTCACAGTGACCCCAGGGTGAGGTCTTAAATAAAAAATATGTAATATGATATTATGTGATACGGATCTATTAAAGAACCTCTCATCGTTAAATAATATGACTTGTCATGATATTAATATAAGAACTCTTAGTCTTCGAACGTTAGCATCTAATGTCGGTTATTTGACATATTTTAATGCCAGGCTCCATTTATAAAATACTTATTAGATGAATGTGCTTCAAAAACGTGGTATGAAGACAAAATCCCGATTACTCACCGAGTATAAAGGTGAATATCCTTGAAATCATTGCAGTGCGGTGGGACCAGCTTCGTTCAGGCGTAATGTGACGAAACGTGACGAAATTCCAGATGTCGCTTATCACCATTTCGTAAGATAACGCCACCATAAGACCAATGGCCTAATAGCACCAGATAATACACTTACCTATAAAGACTTTTGTTTTTTCACCCAGGTAAGAATAGATACGTAATACTGAAGAGCTAACCAAAGCGTGGACCGGGAGTTGAAGTTTTGTGATCCCATGAAGATCCATTTTAGAATTGGTCTTCAGCAATCCATGTTTGTTGTAAGAGGTAAGCACTATAAAATCGGCATAAGTCCGGACTAGTTAAAGCAATCACACACACACACACACACACACACACACACACGTAACACGCATGCACTTCGCTATATCAATGCAATAATCTTGGATGCGACGTTTATACCCCATTGCACCTTGTTAGAGTTGACAAACGCAATCAGGTTCGCTAAGTTAGTTGATGATTCTCATCTCATCACAAGTGCGTGAATGGACGCTCATGATGTCAATCACTGGATTGCCTGGTCCAGATTCGATTATTTACATACCGCCTTAATATAGTTGTAATATTGTTGAGTGCGGCGTAAAACAAGGAACAAACATTGGTTGAATAGGCTGGCTGGGTGGCATCGTCTCAGGACGGCGCGTGGGTCGTATCTCATGCTTTCGGTCACTGGTGTGTGTCTGCCCCCGACTCGACTGACTTCAGGCCGCCGTGATGTACAGTTAAATCCCCCACCCTACAGCCCAGACTTAGCCCCCCGTGACTCTTTCCTGTATGGTAAATGAAATCTGCCCTACGTGGAAGTCGCTTCCAGGATGACGAGGACATAAAGGCTGTCACAGAGGCGTGGTTAGAGGGCAAATCTGCGGATTTCTATAAAAGTGGTATTAAAAGCTTGAAGGACAAATGGAATACGTGTATTGGGTTGAATGGAGATTATATTGAAACAATAAAAGTGCAAAAGATAATCTGCGACTTGGTCTTATATTGAAGTTGCAAAACTTATTGAACGCCCCTCGTATGTTCTTATAGTAAACCATTTCTTTGGAATACTCAACAGTGTAACCAAGGTGTTTTTTTAAGGCTCAAAACGATTGGACCATAAAATAAAAGTAAAAGTTCACTAACTCAAAAATAGCTGACATTATATTACACAAAACTACAAACATTGCATTTGAGATAAATAAGTAAAACAAACATCTATTACTTTTATTGTAGGTTCGGTTCGATAAGCCATTTACTGCTTCCAATAATGCAGATGTAATCCTTTGACGAGAACCTGGAGGTATATATATATATATATATATATGCATCGCTTAATGATTTTATGACCGCTTCTAGTTACCCCACCGAGAACACTGATAAAATCCCAAGATATCCAATTTATTCATTCAATGTTGTTTGTTTGTTGTTTAACGCCGCACTCAGCAATATTCCAGTTAGGTGACTTCGGTCTGTAAATAATCGTGTCAAGACCAGAAAATCCAGTGATTGATATAATGAGCATCGATTTACGCAATTGGGATACGATGACATGCGTCAACCAAGTCTCACCACCCGATCCCGTTAGTAGCCTCCTACGACAAGCATAGTCGCTTTTTAGGGCAAGCATTGGTTGCTGAAGACCTATTCTACCCCGGATATTCACGGGTCCAATCCATTCCATGAGATTCACGGGTTCGAGTGAGGTGGGTTTAAAGCCGTTTTGAACAGTATTAGTCATATCACGGCGTGTCAACTTTGTGTTAGAGGAGGCCCGAAGTTGCTGGTTGGTTGAGGGTTTCATCAAAGTGGTAAGCCAGGGGGTCGATCTATATATCTTTGTATAGTCTTCCAGGGTACACGTCAAAAACCTGTGTCGCTTTGCGTTTCCTCGCATAACAAGCTGACACGCCGTGATATGACGTATATACTGTTCAAAGCATCGTAAACCCAACTCACTCACTCATACCGCCTGGTGGCGACGAGGGTGCACATACGCGTGTTCTCGATGCAAGGGAGTTATCTGACTACGAAAGGCCATCTTCCCGAGTAAAGGGAGCTAACTGACTGTGAAATTCCAGTTTCCACAGTTAACTCCCTTGCCTCGGGAAGACGGTACATACGACCGGGTGTTTATAAGTGTAAGTATGTTAGGTAGGATATCGATCGGCAGCTTGCGGCGACCTGCATGTCTCGCTCTTATCTATAGGTAATCAGGTGTAAAGTAGAAAATCAATAAAACGGTTATTTCATACAGCCCCCGGAACACCTAATTGGAAACAAAGAGTTTGCGAGTGAAGGTTCCGCAATCAGCATTATCATAGCAGCTGGTAAATAATATAGCCAAGTCCCGTCAAACTAGTGGATGATAGTATGAACACCGATACACACATACGATGTCACATACTCTCTAGAATATTTTGGACCGGGCATTAAACAACATTCACTCCTTTTGTGACTTTTGTGTCCCCCGTGATATTCCTGGAATATGTCGCAAAGAGACGTAAAAAATTCTCACTCAAATGAAAAAAGACTGTTACGAGTCAAATCCCATCTCACGTTTCTCGCTATCAAATAGTCATTCATTCCGACTCCATCCCCTGCGTTCGATTATTATAATTTGAGTGACCTGAGTCTACTGATGTCACCACGTTTTGGGCAACCAGAGTTGACTAGATTCAACCAGTCACCCAGTGTTAAGTATTGCTCTGAGCTCGAAGACCTGGTGTTTAATCGTTGAAATGGTCAGTTAGTTTCCGAGGCGCTAAACGATTATTCATCTGTCACGGACTCCATTTCAACGATCAGACACCAGGTCCTCGTGCTCTAACCTATATACATATAGACGCTGGAAACAATTATTGTCCGAAAGACAAGGTTTCCGGATTCACGGGGTCCGGACTACAGAAACTTGACGTAAATGTTGCACGACCAAACTATACTGAGACAATCCCCTTCTCAGCTGATGTAGCTATACGACTGCGGATATACCACCACCACTAAACTATTCTATTGAGATGAGGCCGCCTACTGTGATTGTCAATTACTGATTGTATAGAGCTTTCTCAACGGCGGTCAATGCCTCATTTCCGTGCCCAGAGAGACCGCATGGGCAACACTATTCTGACGTTATGGGAAACAGAAACGCATGACATCTACGTGCAATCAGACCATATATCTATTCTATGGTCTCTAGTGCAAAATATGATCATATTGCCTCATTCGTCGATAAATCGTTATACGCAAGAAATTTATTTCTACGTACATGTAAGTGTTATGAAATGTATTATTTAGGTGAGGTGAAATTGGGTTTAACGTCACGTTCAAGATTATTGCACTCATATAGCGACGTGCATGCACGTGTGTGTGTGTGTGTGTGTGTGTGTGTCTGCTTGTACTAGTCCGGACTGATGCCGATTTATAGTGCTAGCCCACTGAGATACCATGCCGCAGTTTAATATGAATGACCCACTAAGACACAGTATACTGACTCCGAGCCGACCAGTTATTGTTGTAGCCCTTTAATGCCGAGCGCCAGACAGGGTAACAACAAGTACCATCTTTTAACGTCTTTTGATATGACGCGGCCGGGGATCGAACCCCGGACCTTCCGCTCTCCGGGCGGACGCTCTACCACTACACCACGGAGGCGGTCAATGTATTATTTAAATGACATAAGATCAATATATGTCAGGTGAGATGAAATGGGGTTTAACGTCGTGTTCTAGTCCAGACTAATGCCGGTTTTATAGTGCTAGCCCACCGAGACACCATGCAGCTGTTTAATATGGATAGTACACTGACTCCGAGACGACCAGTCCTTGTTTCATCGCATGTACACTCTAAATCTATGTGTTCTAATACGCAAGACAGGGTAACAACAAGTACCATATTTTAACGTCTTTAGGCCAGACAACCCAGTGATTGACATCATGAGCATCGATCCACGCAACTGAGATACGATGACATGCATCAACCAAGTCAGTGAGCCTGACCACCCGCTCCCTTTAGTCACCTCTTACGTTGAGCATATACGCCCTTTATACGGCAAGCATGGGTTGCCGAAGACCCATCTTACCCTGGATCTTCGGTTCCACGAGTGAATGAGTAATATTGCAACTATTCATTGCATGTAAATAGTCGCGCCACTTTTACCCGCTGAAAATTTCGAGTTAAAATTCCTCCCTGTCATACTTGTTCCGCGATCATGTTTGTTTGTTCGTTTGTTGTTCCAGCTATATGACGTCGGCCTGTAAATAATCGGGTCCGGACCAGATAATTCAGTGAAAGAGATCATGAGCATCGATCTCTCGGCAGTTGGGATCCGATAACATGCATCAACCAAGTCAGTGAGCCTGACCAACCGATCCCGTTAGTCGCTTCTTACGATAAGCAATATTAGTCGCATTTTGCGGAATGGGTTGATGAAGACCACTTCTAACCGGGGAACTACCCGGGTCTCCAGACATGTGTTTACAAGCAGGCGTGAGAAAGCTGGAATGCATTCCTGACCTCGGCAATACCCCCTTGGAGATTCCGAGTTACATAGGTCCTCTGCAACGTCTGCAGGTCGTAAGAGGCGACTAATGGATCGGGTGGTCCGACTGGGTGACTTGGTTAATTACGTGTCATCCTACCCGGAAAGCGTGGGGCGCTGCTCATATATCAATCATTGGATAGTCTGGACCAGACCGACGTCATAGAACAGCAGCAGGGACAGACACGCCCACTAGTCCGTTAGTCCGAGACTAGTGAACATCTTCAGGGAACATTGTTGTCTGCAAAAATCCAACTACAGTAACTAGTGAAATGAACTGCGGACTAGTTGGATATGGTCAATGGGAGTCTTCCCTACAGCTGGCATAGTGTCGCGTTAAACAATAAACAAAACAAATTACAATATATTCACTCAGTCACTAATCGTTCGGGGGCACGGGCGGATCAGTCTTATATGGCGGCGCGATTCGCTGTGCGTGCAGAGTTGCATCCCTTGGGCACGCCGGAGACATATTATTGTCGGTTCGAATCCCGGTTCGCCCCGATTATGTTTCTAAGTTGGTCAGCACCATACCCTTGCTTATAGGTGTCACCAAAGTGGTAAACGTCTGAGACCTGCATCACTTAGGGTTTTCCTCCCACATTAAGGTGACACGCCGTGATATAAGTGGAATACTGTTCAAAGCGGCTATGAAGCCAACTCACTCACCCATACTCTGTTTTGACACTGTTTTCATGACAACAATTGGCTTTGTTTCTTTTTCATTGTTGTTTAACGCCGCATTCAGCAATAATCGAGACAATTCAGAGATTGAAATCATGAGTATCGATCCATGCAATTGAAATACGATGACATGCATCAAACCAAGTCAGCGATCCCGTTAGTCAACTGCCTCTTACGACTGAAGTTATGCCAACCCCAAATGAAGAAAACCAGAATATATACAAGGCCGTTGTTAACTTTTTTTTTGCCTTTAACATCGAAAAATATTGTTGTGAATTCGGTCATAACAAATCTAACAAAACATATTGCAATGAATCTTTTCTTTATTGAACGAAACCTCTAAATATACCATGTCATGTCGAATATTTATTTTCAAATAGGCTGTGTCAATTTATGGACTATCAATCAAATATAACTGTGAACAAGAAGCCTTTGAAACAATTGTTTTACTTCCAAATGAAACATCGATACATTCCCTCTGTATCATTCATGGACCCTCCCATCTTCCTGGGTAGAATAGGTCTTCTGCAACCCATGCTTGCCGTCAAAGGCGACCATAACGGGATCAGGCACCCAGGCTTGCTGACATAGTTGATGCATGTCATCGTATCACAATTGCGTAGATCGATGCTCATAATGTCTATCACTGGATTGTCTGGTCCAGACTGGATTATTTACAGACCGCCGTCATATAGCTGGAATATTGTTGAGTGCGGCGTTAAACAACAAACAAACAAATGTGTCATTCAGGGCGGGTAGCTATTGATGGCATGAACTGAGCAACGAAGCATGCCATTGGTGTATATGGACACACATTCAGCCAGGGCACCTTTTAACCACCCGTCATCCTCATGTTTGGGTTCCTACGCCAAGCATGGATATACATTACATGAGACCACATGATCATGTAACTCTACCATCTGACAATATTCTATACCATCTGACAATATTCTATACCATCTGTGGCGGTCGGGTAGCCTAGTGGTTAAAGCGTTCGCTCGTCACGCCGAAGACCCGGGTTCAATTCCCATTTCTGGTGTCCCCCGCCGTGATATTGCTGGAATATTGCTAAAAGCGGCATAAAACCATACTCACTCACTATACCATCTAATAATATTCTATACCATCTAACAATATTCTAAAACCATCTAACAATATTCAATACCATCTCACAATATTCTATACCATCTAATAATATTCTATACCATCTAACAATATTCTAAAACCATCTAACAATATTCAATACCATCTCACAATATTCTATACCATCTTATAATATTCTATACCATCTCACAATATTCTATACCATCTAAAAATATTCTATACCATCTAACAATATTCTAAAACCATCTAACAATATCCAATACCATCTCACAATATTCTATACCATCTTATAATATTCTATACCATCTCACAATATTCTGTACCATCTAATAATATTCAATACCATCTTACAATATTCTAAACCATCTAACAATATTCTATACCATCATGCTCGCAGATGAGGGCGAAGGTTTGGTTAAGGGAATATTAGTTTGATTTGGTTTGGTTTGTTGTTTTACGCTGCACTCAGCAATGTTCCAGCTATATGACGGCGGTCTGTAAATAATCGAGTCTGGACCTGACAATCCAGTGATTAAAATCATGAGCATCGATCCACGCAACTGGGATACGATGACATGCATCAACCAAGTCAGCGAGCCTGACCACCCGATCCCGTATGTAGGTATTCTTAAACACTATAATAAATGAGTGTAGATCCAGGTTTTTTTAAATCTTTGTTGATATATTTTCCAGTTTCTAGATCAATTTTACAACACGTTTTTATTTTCAATAATGAGTTTCCTTTTATCACAAGATGCCCTCCGTCCAACCGCAATGCCAACATAATCTGGACCAGACACATTATTGTTGCATTATCGATTCAGTGACATGTATATTTGCGGCTTAACTGCACAGCCATCTCGATCTGCCTCTTTGTCACCTATCGTTCCATGACGTCACAGTTTTGTAGGGCCGAGTTCATTGCAGGACAGTGTGGCGCGTGCGGCACAGAATATGGCGGATACCAAAACATCGTCGCGGTGATGCCGCTCTAGACGAAGAAATTTCCGCCGTTTCCTGCTCTTGGACACATCATGGGTAAACGCGGGAGCAAGCTGACATCAAACGAAGTTAAAGACCTCATGTCATGCACATATTGTAAGTATTGACTGATCGTATTTGACAAGTTGCCATGCATTGTCAGACAGCTGCTGGTCCAATGTTATGATGCTCTGACAAGCTCGTGAGGATGTCGGCGGCACGTGTAGTCTTTGGCGCATTGCTTGCCCTTATCGATTGGTTAACCTCCCCTGTCAACAGGATCGTAGTGAGTATTTGAGGATCACTTAAAGGATCTACTTAATCAGCTGTATGCATCAAACTGTAACGTGTAGATCTAATGTACAGATACGAAGGTCCCAAGGCAAAGGTTTTTGCAACAACAAAGGCACTAACATCGTCTTCAGTTATCAGATGGTTGTATGCCAGTTGTGTAATAATCAGTAAAGATGATTTTTTTCCCCATCAGAGTGAGTGAGTTGGGTTTGACGCTGATTTGAACAGTATTTCAGTTATATCACGGCCTGCCAGTTTAATGTGGAGGAAAGCCAGAATTGTGCTGGTCTCAGAAGTTTATCAGTTTGGTGAAACCCACCAGCACGGGTATGGTGCTGATAAACCTAGACACATAACCTGGATTCGAACCCATGATCATAGGTTCCTGGTGTATCCAAGGGACGCAACTCTGATCAGCGAATTGCAGTACCTCAGTCAACTGTTAGTCCACTTTCCAGCGTTAGAAATTGGCACTGGTCCTGTAGTCCTTACCAAACTGCCCAATGGTAAAGGTATCCTAAGGACTAGTAGAATTAATTGGCCAAATTTAAGGGTTTTGCTATATGTTATCATTATAAGGACTAGTGGACAAAAACTGTTAGTTTCTAACCCTGCTTTCCCATTACAGCTTTGCAAAATATTAAAGCAAGTAACCAGTTTCATACCTGAAGAACTATATACTTGTTTGTGTTCTAAAGTCTGAAAATCTCATGATTGTTTGTTTGTTTGTTGTTTTGGTTTTGGTTTTGGTTTGTTGTTTAACGCCGCATTCAGCCATATTCCAGCTATATGACAGCGGTCTGTAAATAATCCAGTCTGGACCAGACAGTCCAGTGATTGACATCATGCACATCGATCCATGTAATTGGGATACGATGACATGCATCATCAAAGTCAGCAAGTGAATGTCTAGACACTTCATCATTATTGTAGATCATTACTGAAGACGTTTCTCCTGTTTTTACATATTCCTTATTCAGTTAAGTTAATCAATCACTTCTTCAATGTCTTGTCAATACTGGTACCATGATAATCTAGGTGAATTCTGTTTGCTATGATAATAACATGGCAAGCTTTCAGGATTATCTGATGTGGACAAAAACTACTCAGGCACAGCTTGTTTTCGGAGTAGCTACACAAGCTGTTTTGACAAGCTGTCATTTTCATAGTCATTAGGGCTAACGCATCATGTTGAGACAATCACTATTATTGCATCAACTCTCTGTAGAAGGCTACCAGCACTAAAATGTCATGGACAAAGCCCTGTCTTCTAAGTGGAATGATTAGCAGTTCAACTAGGCTTATAAACATGCTTGTTGCAAGTTGTGCAATAATGCATGTACTGCTTGTTCAGTATGCATTTCAAGCACTGATGCTTTGTTTATGTATGTGCAGTTAGAGTCTGTTTCTTCAATTGTGAAGTAAAAAATCACTTTTTTGTAAAATCTTGTACTAAAGGAATTCTCGCCTTTCATACTGATTAATTCTAGAAGTGAGAAGAGATCGTTCATAACGAATTTAGCTGGTCAGTATTACTTGAGGTTAAACGTAAAGCCTGATTTGATCGCTTTATAAAATATTTCTCTTCAAACTATAATATGAAAACAGACCGGAATTTTACCTTGTATAAAGATACAGGACACAAACATTTGCTTGGCTGAATTTGAATTTAACATATGTTCTACAGTCTGTCCCACAAGCGTTGGAGTCGTCTGGACTGAACATGTCTCTAAGCATCATTTTCAGTAGAGTTATCATACTGACTATTGTCGGCTGGTCTTACTAATCCGAACAGAATTTGACTAGACTCGGGCTTCGGGCTAGTGGCTAAAGTTACCGACTTTTTAAGTTTGGATGTAAGTTTGATTAAAAAAACATAGAAATGTTTGTTTATATTTGACTTCAATATTGAAAGCCTTTCAAAAAGCAAATATCATCTTCCCGATCCTTTAAAAGTCCAGTTTCCACCCTTGTCGATTTAGGCTGGAATTCCTGGGCTCGATCGTAGCGCCACCAGTTGTTATTACGAGTTATTTCCCTTCTAGGCCTCTCCTATGGACCAATCTGATTCCATCTCTCGTATCACTAACATTTGTTTCAAATAAAATGGCTGTGCCCAGTCAAGACGATCTGATAGATAATCAAGATCTATATTGTGATAAAACGGGTCTTACATCGCAAAGTGCATCAAATCACATGAGGACCTTGATAAAAAACATGAAAAGATTTGGAAAATTTCTGTTGACAACAAGTTGGCGGTGCACATGCTTTACAAATCCTGCAATCAACTGAAATCTGCACGACAGTTTACTAACCGGATTTCGATTTCGTTGCGCGATTTTGATTGGACTATGCATAGACTCGTTAGTCCAGCCAAAATGTCCAATCAAAATTGCTTAATGAAATCAACATCAGGAACTGTCTTCCAGATTTCGGTCGATTACATGTGTACCGCCAACTTAGCATCAACACATATTTTCCAAATCTTTTCATGTTTGTAATCAAGGTGCTCACATGATTTGATGTGAGACTCGTTTTAATACAATATAAATTTTGATTATCGATCAGATTGTCTTTACTGGGCGCCACCATTTTGTTTGAAGCAGATGCAAGTGATATCAGAACTGGAATCTGATTGGACAATGGGAGGAACATAGAAGGGACTTGTTGTAGCCACGGGTGGTGAAGCGGTAGAACCCAGAAATTCCATCCTAGTTGGGCAAGGGTGGAAACTGGACTTTTGAATTAACACCCTTGCCTCAGGAAGATGCAGTACACTTTAATATTCAAAGAAGAAGAGAGGATCACACAATTTAATGCCTAAAACATGTTCACAATAGCTTTTCCTTGGAGGAATCAAAGTGGACTCGACTGATGGCTCATCAATTTTAAAGAGCAGCTAAGCTATATTTTCTTTGATCAATGTCTATGATAATTTATAATGTATATTGATCAGAAGTGGTTGTAGTTTATAAGTCGATAACATTCATAAACAAGAAACATATTTTGGAGATAAACACTGTGTTTTCATTGGAGGGATAGGTTACCTTTTGATTTGACCGTGCTTAATTGAATTTAGTACTGTTAAATTTAGTGTGGTTAAATCTTCAGGCATCTTCCCGAGGCAAGGCAGTTATAACTGATTAATATCCATTTTCACCCTCATTGAACTAGGTTGGGATTTCGTGCCTCGATCGTTGTGCCATCAGTGGCTTATACGAGTTAAGTTCCTTCTATGTCCTTCCTATTGACCAGTCAGATTCCACTTCTCATATAACTTGGTTTTGCTTCAAAGATAATTGCAGTGCTCAGTCAAGACAATCTGATCGATAATCAAGATCTATATTGTAATAAAACAGGTCTTACCTTGTGAAGTTAATAAAATCACTTGAGCACGATGATTAAAAACATGACAAGATTAGGAAAATATCTGTTGATGCACAGTTGGCGATACACATGCTTTGCAAATGCTGCAATTGTCCGAATTCTACACAGCAGTCTACATGTTTACAAACCTGATGTCCATTTCGCTACGAGATTCAGGGTCAGCCAATATATAACTCAGAAATTCCACCCTAGGTCTGCAAGATGATATACAGGTAACCTAGCCCTGCATTGAAAACACAGTATGTTTATCTCCATTCTACCATGACAAAAACATGCAAACTCTTTGGTCATCATAAGCAAAGATATTGAGTGAAGTGGCAATGGTTGAGTCCAATGTTTTGAAGGGTGTAGATCTGAAAGAAATCAAGATAATTGCCCTTAAACAAAATATGGCGCTGTATTGCACAAATATGTCTTTTTTTTTACATCATAGTATTGAAAGCTACTTTATATGCAAATATGATGAAGATGACGTCACAAAGACGACAAAGCATGCCTTGCAATGTTTTGTTCTATGCTGGACGTTAATATTTTGACGTTATACCACTTGTTGTGATGCAGAAAATATAAAGTCAGAGTCAGCATTAGGAAAATTTCAATTTTCAAGCTCTCTGTGGTTCCGTTAACTTAAAATGCACTCTCTTGGTCAATTTCAGTCTTGTTTTTGTTCCAAAAGGTATTGCCACGCTTAAAATAGTGCAGTAACCACTATTTTGTACATGTGGTTATTTAAAGATGCCTATTGACGATGACTGAGGAAGAAGTACTCTCCTGTCAATATTCATATGTTGATGTTAAAAGATGGTACTTGTTGTTACCCTGACTGGCGCTCAGAATAAGGGGCTAAAACAAGGACTGGTCTGCTCTAAGCCAGTATTGTTATACGGCATGGCATCTCAGTGGGTACCACTATTAAACAACTAACAAACACACACACACACACACATAGACACACACACACACAAACATGGGCATCCACGTCGCTAAATCTATCCCAATTGCGTGGATCGATACTCATGATATCAGTCACTGGATTGTCTGGTCCAGACTCGATTATTTTACAGACCGCCGTCATATAGCTGGAATATTGCTGAGTGCGGCGTTAAACAACAAACCAAACAATCACGTCGCTAAATAGGTGCTATAAACTTAAACGCGACGTTAAACCTCATTTCACCTCACCTTTCAGGCCAGCTAATTTTCATGGCCCCTCAGATATATTGAGACATAACTCTTGCAGCATATTTTGCTCATTCTTCAACATTTCTGTTTCAGTTGAAAGAAAAGAACTCCAACAATGGTAAGAACTTTCAGCTGTAAATAGTTCTGACATTGTTCAAAATTTAGGGGTTCCAGGGGTCCTTGAGTTTTTCTGCTGGGGTAGTCTAATCTATACTCCTTACAGTGGTGAAATTAAGTCTGCTCCTCGCAGGGTTCCTTGAGGTGTTGTGCTGGAGTTAAGTCTTAGTCTGAGGCGACTGCTTGTTGTAAGAGGCGACTTATATAATGCTTGTTGTAAGAGGCGACTATTCTTGTCGTAAGAGGCGACTAACAAGATCAGGTGACTTGGTTGATGCATGTCATCGTATCCCAATGGCTTGGATCAAATGCTCATGATGTCATTGTCAATCACTGGATTTTCTGGTCCAGACTCAATTCTTTACAGACTAAACTCCTTACAGTGTTGAAATTAAGGGGGTTCCTGGGTTCTTTAAGGTGTTCTGCTAGTCTAATCTAAACTCCTTACACTGTTTGAAACTAATGTTGTTCCTGTGTTCCTGATTTTTGCTGATATAATATTTCAATCTAGTGCTACCAAATTTCCATTTTTAAAACTAGGGTCATGTCAACATGGTCAAGGAACACTGTTTTTTTAAAGCATATCAAGTCTTTACTTTTTTGCGTCAGGGTCTTTCCAAGGGCCCCTTTTTTTAACACCCCATAACATATTAATAATTATTATTGCACACTATAACTGGTTCCTTATATCTCCCCCGGCATATTACCTTGGTATATGGGTATATAGTCATCATGTGGTCTGTCTGTCCGTCAATTCGTTGATCTGTCTGTCTGTCAGTCTGTATTTTGTTTCTGAAACATAATTTGAAAACCGTGAAAGATTTCTTATCCAAACTTGGTACATGTCACACCGTGGGCTGAAGTGGTGCCTTTTGCTATTGTGGGGGCTGGGGAATTTGTCATCTTTTGATGGAATTTGTTTTAATTTGAAAAACTCCATTATGCAAATGCCAAATAGTATTCAGTTATTTGAAATTCAATATTTATTCTAGCTGAATAAATTGTAATCCCTAAAAAAATAATTGAAAATGAATTTGGTATTAATAGTGAGCATGTCTTGAGAGAGAGTCATTTGCGTGTATGAATAATCTATCAGAACAAATTACTATTAGATTTATTTATGAGAGAGTTAATGTTGTTTTAATCTGCAGTCAGCAATATTCAAACCCCATCATGGCATCTGACCATGTCACTGGGCACGATAACAAATCTAGGTCACACATTGTATTCCTAATGACCCTATTCTCATTCAGCTCGTATGACCAACAATTGGATACTTGGGGCATATTCTGCTATGGAGTTCGCAAGGGGAAATGGAATTTGATGGTGTGATGGATGGTGTATCTGCATGATCAGACTGAAAAAGTCTTGATTAATGATTATTCAATTTGTATTGGTTCATCAACATTGGGCTTATGACAGTATGTCCCTGTGGGGACCCGGGGTAGAATGTGTTCCCCTGAGCACCCATTGCTGGTCTTAAGAGGCGTTAGACCAGGTAATATGTTAGTGATCTTTCAGAAGCCCATGCTTGTCTTAAGAAGCGTTATCCCAGGTAATAGGTTAGTGATCTTGCAGAAGTCCATGTCTTAAGAGGCGAGTAATAGGATTCAGACTCAGTGACTGCTTGTCATCGTATCCCAATTGCATAGATCGATGCGCATGATGTCAATCACTGGATTGTCTGGTATTAACAGACCACTGTCATATTGCAGGAGTGGTGTGTTAGACAACAACCATGACAGTTAGTGTTGTAAAGATTTATCTATGATTCCAAACTAATTCCAGCAGTTTTCTTTCTTTTTTCATAATTGGGATTTTTGTTAAAGTTCTTATTTTCTCAAATTATGATATATTTTGACATTGCATTTAATGGAATAGTTTAAAGCTAAGCACCAAAGCCTCTTTCATTCTAGGTTTCAGAGGCTGGGACGATACGCCAACTGTGCTATCCGTTACGTATTATCACAAAACCTTGCTCACGATCCGTTACATATCACGATACTTACATGTGCTCTTATTTGTGGTTTGTAAGTCATCTTTTTAACAGACATGATGGCCAAATACCTAGCACCCTAATGATTTACAGTTGGCAGTGTCAAGTATGGATGGATGAAAATATTTACGTTTTCACTACTCATTTTTACTAGTTAAAATCCCGATAACATGGTTAAAACAAACTCCTGCCCTTACTTCAAACCTACAATTCGAAGAATGCGTACCAAATATATCACATCTGTGTTTTAAACGCTAAGTTGCGATATTTTATTGACTGCAGTCACGTGAATATTATAAATTTACATTGAGGATGTTGTTTCACTTGCCACAATATTAACTTCAAATTTAACACACAAATATCGTCATAAGGGTTCAAATCTCATTCATTGTGTTTGGAGTTGGAGCATTTATTTTTTTATTGATTTTGAGTCAAAGTTGATAATGTGTTTTCACAGTGTCTCAGTATAAATCTTGGGGTGTTTGTGATAGGAAGAAAGATGTATTATTTACAAAATATGGCAGGAGTAAGGATGTCATGATAAACTGTGGCACACTTTTATCGTTTGAGACACACCTAAAAAGTATACCGTATTTGACGCATTAAGCGCCCCGCTGTAATAAGAGCGATATTTGCTAATATACTGGCTAATGAACAATCCCAATTAGCACCCCTTCCGATTGATAAATATACACAAGACTGTTTATTCGTGCATAATACGTTTGTTTTATGCACCCTTAATTATGGGTAATTAAATCCTGGAAAATATATCTGTGGTATATAAACATTTCATCATAAACAACGAAATTAACGCTCTTTGAACTCTGTTGTTTTTCACCAAAATAATATTCTAATAAGAGCCCCCTAATTATAATTTTGAGAGCGCCCTGGGAGCTTATTATGTCGAATACGGTAAGTGACTTGAAGCACACTTGACAACAATTGCACTTCGATCTGTGACATTAGTTATCCTTGTTACAACTAAACACATGATTATCATTTGCTATAACTAAAACCTTATTAGGGGAATTTGTAATTCGAATTTTGAACTTTGTACTGCCATTGGCTGCAGATTTGGGGCTGAATATCAGCCTCTGAGCAGGTCCAGATCAATCCCTGTTTGTCCAGCTAATCTATTTCATTGATGCTGTCTGTTGGTTAGTTTATTAAAACACACCAAGTATCAGTCATGAAATGTGTGATCAGCCCTTATTCAAATATATGGTTATTTGATTTTAATGAATTTCTAGGTGATAATGAATTATAGAATAATAAGAAGATAAATCTATAGATGAGCCCTTTTTCAAATATATGGTTATTTGATTTTAATGAATTTCTAGGTGATAATGAATTATAGAATAATTAGAAGATAAATCTAAAGATGAGCCCTTTTTCAAATATATGGTTATTTGATTTTATGAATTTCTAGGTGATAATGAATTATAGAATAATTAGAAGATAAATCTGTAGATGAGCCCTTTTTCAAATATATGGTTATTTGATTTTATGAATTTCTAGGTGATAATGAATTATAGAATAATTAGAAGATAAATCTAAAGATGAGCCCTTTTTCAAATATATGGTTATATGATTTTAATGAATTTATAGGTGATAATAAATTATAGAAGAATTAAATAAGAGAGAGAGTGAGTGAGTGAGTATGGTTTTACGCCGCTTTTAGCAATATTCCAGCAATATCACGGCGGGGGACACCAGAAATGGGCTTCACACATTGTACCCATGTCGGGAATCGAACCCGGGTCTTCGGCGTGACGAGTGAACGCTTTAACCACTAGGTTACCCGACCGCCCCAAATAAGAGAGAGAAGAAGAGATAAATCTATTTTGTTTTCGATTTTGTGGTGTTTCATCGTTGATTAAAAACTGCTAAATGTAATTTAAAATCCAAACATGTTGGTGATTTTTATATCCAGTGTAATTGCCATTAAATGTATTGAAAGCAGTCGGTGACAGAAACGATTGAGTTGCCTGAACATATGATATTTTATATACTCAGTATGTTTTTAAGTCTCAGTATATTGACTAGACCCTGGCTTCAGACTAGTGGCTAAATTTGCAGACTGCATGAGCATAAAAAATACGATAATGGACAAGGTTGCTAGGGATGTTGCTAAGGCATTTTTTTCTATTAGATTCATTGCAGAGTAGGGGAAATTACTACATAAAGAATTTTTTATATTTGTTTACTGTTATTTATCATGTTGCTATGAATGCTTTTAAATAAGTGATTTATCTTCTTATATGTGATTGATGAATGATAATGGTGATGGTTATTGATTGTTTTTTCAAACCAGTGTTCAATCTTAATATTATTAGTTATTCTTGATACTGTTATATATGACAATGTTTCTTCTGTTTATTGTAGGTATAAGGACTTTAAGAGAGATTGTCCAAGTGGCGTCCTACGGAGAGAGGTAAGTGACAGTTTTAGCCTTAAAAAAATGTTTTTCTCATTTGTGAGTGAGTGAGTGAATATGGTTTTAAGCCGCTTTTAGCAATATTCCAGCAATATAACGACGGGGGACACCAAAAATGGGCTTCACACATTGTACCCATGTCGGGAATCAAACCCGGGTCTTCGGCGTGACGAGCGAATGCTTTAACCACTAGGCTAACCTACAAATTTCAGAACCTGTTGTCCCTGACTTGACTCTGAAGACTGTTGCTTCTTGTTTTAGTCAGAGTTGAAGGAAACAGCAAAAATACTTTCAATTAAAGAATTTAATAAAAATAAAAATGAATTCAAAGACAATGAAAAATCCCTAAACATTTTGATTACTGGTATCTAATCTTAGTTTTATCATACATTCTATACATAATGCAGTCTGTTCAAAACTCTTCAGAAACACTCGCCCAAACTTGGCTTGTTGCACCGTTTTCAGTAGAAATTAGTGTACCGTATTTTCTTGAGTATAGTGCGCACTTTTTTTTCGAAAAAACACAGCTGTGTAGAAGGGGGTGCGCATTATACACGAATTATGAGTTTGGATGTTTTTTCCCCCCATGGAAAGACATTACCGTGAGCACGAAACACCGGGAATACCATGTCAACAAATCCATACTGAAGTACGCAAAATAATTATGTAATTACACTGTCTGGCTATAAAAAGTGTTCTTTGTATATCTGGACTTATGTTTGTAACTTATTTCATTGATTTTATTCAAAATTCCTTATAATATTGTTTTCGGCGAAATCGTGTGTGAAGCGATCGGAAGATCGCACAACTCACCGTTATTAACAGCAACCACGGTCAGAATACCGCTATTGACGCCTTGAAACAAACTTTAGTTGACAGAGAATGGATACATATATCATAAATGACATACTTTTACTCGTTAAAAGTCATATTTGTTTTTGTTTGACGATTCTATGTCAACATGAAATTCTCGCTATCACGTGATTACGTGCGCGTGAGCCTTGACGGTGACTGGTCAGACATGTTCCATGTAAAAAATAATACCCGGGAATAGCGATCAGCTGCTTCGCTTAGGGTTATTATTATTTTAAATATGTTTAGTAAAGGTTGCATATAACTAAGAAAATAATGGAATATATTATTCCTGATAAATAAAATAGTTTCAGATACAATTGTTGCCGATCCTTGCATTAAAAATCTTATAAAGTTATATCATTGGGTGTGTCTTGACCGAATCACCGGTCGATTCCAAGAAAACGTGTGTACAGCTGATTGCTGTTTCCAGCTTAGTTTACGAGAAAATACGCAAGGTAATCTTAATCCCTAAATATAAAACAATGTCTAGCAGAACAATAAATACTATTTAAACGGTAAATAAACATGTCTGGTGATTTTTTATCTCAAATTTCGAATTTGTACTGACAAGTTTCTCAGCACCCGTTCGTTTGCCGGACTTCGCTGAAAGGGTACGGTGTAAAAAATTTCTGCGCATAATATTCAAATTTCTTTTTTTCCAAAATATTGAACCCGCTAGAGGGGGGTGCGCATTATACATGGGTGCGCACTATACTCAAGAAAATACGGTAATCATATGTATTTGTTTGTTTGTTGTTAAACACCGCACTCAGCAATATTCCATCTATATATCCACACAGTTTGGATCCAATGACATGCATCATCCAAGCCAGCGAGCCTGACCACCCGATCCCGTTAGTCGCCTCTTATGACAAGCACAGTCGCTTTTTGCGGCAAGCATGGGTTGCTGAAGACCTATTCTCTACCCAGATTTTCACGGGTCGTAATCATATGTACTGTAGGATTATTACCCGAGCTTACTAGACCAAACATGCTCCCTGATTGGGCAGTTTGTTTGTCCACACATATCCCTGCATGTTTTACAGGACATGTTTTGACAGTGACACAACAGCCAGGAATGAAACTCGTCTCCCAGGGTTTTCTGAAATGTTTTTTTTCAGTTGGTTTTCATCATCGTCATACTCCTTTGTTTCTGAGATTGTTTCTGTTATTGCTGCATGTTGATAAGAGTCTTGGATGAGCTCTTCACGGCATGTTGATGCCTAAAGCTACACATGCAGGGGTAGATTTAACAACAAATTTGTATGTAGCCAGCAGGCTTGCTCCTTTTAAAAGTTACTGGCCCTTCTCCAAACTGCCTACAACAAAATGGTGGAGGCCACAAAATGGCTGAACCTGAGGTTGCATAGCCACCTAGCAGGGCTCTGAAAAATTTAGAACTCCTCACCCCTGAAACATTTTTTCATGCACTCTGAGATTAAATCTTGGCTTCCATTTACCTCATTTTGTTAAAAAACTTAAACATATACATCCTTCTTTTCAGATGATTTTATGTGACTTAGTGAAAAGGTTGTTGTGATCAGGTATTGTTTACCCGATTGGAGGGTGTACAATGCATGGCACAGCCAGGGTGGCCTTGTGTTGTCTGAACTGAAGGGCTGTGCCGTGTATTGAACATCATCCACTGAAAAAGTCAGGTTGTTTTACTTTATATACGAAATTTTCCAGTGTTATACACCATTGGTCAAATCTAACTAGTCTGCAGCTCATTTTGGACAAGTGGTTATGTAAAATAACTAGATTTGGTAATACAACAACTAATCGGTCTATATTGTAACCATGGTTACAACTAGTTGGTCTATATTGTAACCATGGTTACTGGTTTTGGACTATTTTGGACTAGTGGCTATATCTACCCCTGTCCAGGTCAATTAGTGTGAGTGATTGAGTGAGTGAGTTGAGTTTAACGCCGCTTTTAACAGTATTCCAGTTATATAGCTTAATGTGGGAGGAAAGCCCGAAGAGATGCAGGTCTCAGACGTTTACCACTTCGGTGAAACCCACGAGCACGGGTATGGTGCTGACTAACCTAGAAACATAATCGGGGCAAACTGTGATTCGAACCCACAATCATAGGTTTCTGCCGTGCCCAAAGGACGCAACTCTGCACAGCGAATTGTGGCGCCTTAAACGACTGGGCCACCCGTGTCCCCCAAGGTCAGTTAAATCCATCATGATCTTTGAAGCAATTCTCAACACAAAATCTACATGAAACAACTAGCTGCTCTGGATTTTCACTTGTCTCGGGCTTACAGACTAGTAGCTGTGTCTATGCCTGGTGGGTGGATTTTAACTGAAATTGGATAGCCATCAAACAACAGCATGATACTTTTGGTCTGCAGTAAAAATGTGGTTGGTCAGGCCACAAGAATGTGGGAAAAATAAAAATCCACTTGCACCCAACCATGAAATAGCACTCCAGCAGTGTTGGGACAGGTGACGTGTATTTGTTTGAGCTACAAGCAGGCACTCAACAGTATATTTTTAACCTTACTGGATCAGTGCACTGATAACATTGCACATTCCAGTTCATTGTCAGGACGTTGTCACACGCATGTCTTTTATGTCTGCAGCAGAGTTTTATTCCCAGATTTAACAAGTTATTGAGGTGTGGAATAGACTAACGATTATGGACTCTCAAAATGTATAATTTTGATAGAAATATTAGCAACTATATATAAACTGAAAAGGAGCCAAAAAGAGATGGGAGAAAAATCTAGACTTTATTCATTTAGGGCTTTAGCATTACAAGGGAAAATAATATGGTTCAAGGATTTTGAGATAAAATTGGGCATGAGGCTGATTTAAATATTTTATTAAGAGTTTCTGAAGGGTCATGTAGAGTTGTTTTTAGTATACATTTGTTACTTAGTGTCTCCCAAATAAATATTTCCCATGGGGTGTTTTTTCTACTCGAGGATAAAACTGATGTATTAGAAAATTCATTTTTTTACCTTGAAGTTGTCATGGTTACGACACGAATTCCTGGACTTTCTTTCTTAAACTTAGAACACTGCCATGGTTTGCTTTCATTGAACTGCTTTAACCAATCAGATATCAACCCAGCGTAAGTCCAAATTACAACTCTCCACCCACAATGCATTATTATGCTATACTGAGAAATGCACAAAAGTGATAGCTTGTTTGATTGATTGTGAATTTGGTGTTTGAACGTGCACTCAACAATATTCCAGCTACATGACGGCGCTCGGTAAATAATCTAGTCTAGACCAGACAATCCAGTGATTCATGTTTTGAACATTGATCCATGCCATCAGGGTACATCTATGGTTATACGCTGTCAAAAAGTCACTGAGCTTGACCATTTAGTCTCCTCTTGCGCCAGCATAGGTTGCTTAGTCTAGGAACCTGACCCAGTTTATTTAACCTTTAGTATATAAGTGTGGAGCAATTAGTAGGTGACATAAATAGATCTAGAGGTTTCATGGACAGAGAAATTATCGTCATAGTTTGCATAACAAAATAATGTTTTCTGTGTGTTATAAATTAAGCATGAAAGTCATAATCTTTTTTTCAAATTTAGATATTTTGGGGTTTCCTTACTATACCCTACAAGCACTATAGATGGAAACCCCAAGGGCCCCACGACCCTGCTGCTTAATTTCAAACACTCTGCTGCCCCAACTCCAGACCCGCGAAATGACAAATGCATTTCTGATGCATTTTGTATTGAAAATGTAAATATGTAAAGGCTAATAACAAGAGTACTATTTTTAGAAGATTTACGGTACTCACTGTGTGTAACGATGGCAAGGCTGGAGGCATGTATAAATCATTTTATGTATATCATTATTCACAATAGAGTATCATCTTGCCAAAGTTATTCCTAACCCCATTGTTAAACATGGAGGGAGGTGTAGGTGTTGGGGGTAAAGCCTAACCTGTAGCATTGTTCTCAGGTGTTAATCTGCCAGGGACAGATCGATGTCTGTTGGCTGTTTCTGAACAGTTTCTAAAGGTAGACATCGATATACAGAAAAAATGATTTTAGAATAATCATGAAGGCTGTATCGGTAGAAGTAATCGCCATCAACACAGTTGAAGACTGCTGGATGATTTCATTATCAAGCTGTGCCATGTGCTTGTAATTCATGTGTATT